GTCAATGTGATCGATTCGTCTACTCGCGAAACCCACAGCGGGAAGCTGTTCAAGTATGATGGCGATGAAAGGCCGTGGTAGGGGGCCAAAGACAACTCAGTCGGTGGGTTTCCTATTGTGTACTTGCCTCCCATAGAAGCCAGTCCATACACGATGTACACTGCATAACAATTTCCTACCCTCTGACATGAGGATTGATAATCCCAAACTAGTGGTCCTTTGAAATGTAGCAGTACATGCATGTGTTCTAGCAGTGGTCCCATAGCAAGTGTATGGGCCACCCAAATCTTGCTACCGCACCATTCTCCATCCCACAGAGACATAATCCAATTATATGTCCTTGAAGAGTTTAGAGTTATTCCGGTAACTGATCAAGCTGTCTTCAGTTCCAATATAATACTGAGCGGATATACGTGAGCTTGCGCCGCCGCTGGCCTTCCCACAACTGAATTACAGTGAGCAGACGGTAGCTTGATGGACCCGATCACGATTGAAGTTCTGTGTGTCTCTACTATCACTATTTTTCACTGGAGTAATGCATACACCTAGAGTGCATCACAAACTATCCTATATGATTGCTGTATACATCATGGCGAAGATACTTGCCAATGGACAGGTTGGAAGTAGAAAGGCTGAAACAGATGAATGCATCTCATAATTTTGCCTTGGTTCCCTTCTGGATGTATGCATCCCAATCCACCTTCCTTCCTGACTGGAACTCGCGCACTCCGTGAGCGCCATCCCCATCTGGCCGCATCATTTCATAGAAGAGAGACTTGATCCCCTCTGCTTGTTGCTCCTTCCCGGCGTGGGCCCAAGCTAATTTCACCAGCTCCTTTGACATGCGAGATGCATCAGGCGAGACATGTCGCAAGCGCACCAACAAGGCGTCCAGCCGCTGGTGCAAGTCTTCCGCATTCGCTGCCATCTCTGCCACAAGTCCGAGAGAATGCAGCTGCTCAGGCTTAACTGGTCGAGCCGAAAGCATCGCCTCCCGCGCGAATGCCACCCCCCACTCGCGGATCACATATTTGGAGATGGTCGCGGGACAAAGTCCCAATTTGCCTTCGCTCAGGGTCACTGTGGCAGACTTTGCACAGAGTCGAATGTCACAAGCAAAGGCTAGTCCAACACCACCGCCAAAGGCTGGTCCATTCAGACAGGCAATGGTCACTTTCGGACAGCTATCAATCACATCAAAAAGCTCGGTCAAGCGCTTGAATTGCGCCTCGCTGCTGGAGCCCCCTTGCGCCACGGGGGAGCTTCCCTTTCCCAGATCCATTCCGGTGCAGAAGAACTTCCCGCTACCAGTGATGATAATGCGTGACACGGTTGGATCAGAACTGGCGTTCACTACGGCCGACTGGAGCTCTGCGATCATCGCAGCTGTTAATGCATTGCCATTCCGTGATCGGTTCAGCACAATTTTCAGATTGACTCCGTTCCGATAGAGCTGGACTCCATTCGCATCAATGGCCAAAGTCCATCGTAATGTCGGGGGTGATTGTCTCGATTGGACATTTGTCGGACGTGCAGTCTTGGCTGCCTTGCCGGCCAGGGCGACACCTGCGCGGCTCGAGTTCGACCCTGAGAGTTGTTTGGTGATCCAGACCCCCGTTTCCACTAAACTGGCAAGGTCAATGCCGGTCTCCACACCGGCATCCTGGAACATATAGGCCACGTCTTCTGTGGCAACGTTCCCCTTCGCCCCGGGCGCAAAGGGACAGCCTCCGAGGCCAGCGACACTGCTGTCGAAAACGCGGACTCCGCATGTATAGGCCTCCCAGACGTTGGCCACCGCTTGGCCGTATGTGTCATGAAAGTGTCCTGCTAAGCTGCTAATGGGGACGCCTGCACCGGTTAAACATTGGATCAGGGTGCGGACACTCGCTGGTGAACCCACTCCGAGCGTGTCACCCAGGCTGACCTCGTAGCAACCCGCGTCGAGAAGGGCCCGCACGCAGCGCAGCACAGCAGCTGGGGGAGTTGGGCCATCATACGGGTCGGCGAAGATGCAGGATACATAGCTGCAGCAATCAGTCTGATATTACATGTATGCGTGTCGATGTTGCTTACCCTCGAACCGCTAACCCAGCTTCGATGGCTTGAAATGCCACCTCCTTGGCTCTCTCGAGCCCTTGTTCCACCGTGCAATTGATGTTGGCTCGACTGAACCCTTCCGTGGCGCTGATGAAGACCGCAATCTCCTTGACACCCGACGAACGGGCAATTTCCAGGCCCTTGAGGTTCGGTACTAAGACTGGTAGACGCAATTTGGGATTTTTTGCCAAAAAGTCTTGCACCGAGGAATGTTGAAGCAGGTCGCGACAGTCCGCAAGCTGAGGAATTCTTCGTGGCGACACGACAGAAGTTAGTTCGATGGTCTGCAGACCAGCCTTCTCCAGTCGATGGATCAATTCCAGCTTGGTCGCCGTCGGTATTGGAGTGGAGATGTTTTGTAGACCATCGCGGGGTCCTACCTCGACAATTCTCACTGCTGGAGAAGTGTTCGGCATGGTGGATCGAATGTCATATGTGATGAAGCGTACATAAGTGCACAGTTTCAGTTCTGGATGTACTGCAGGCATACCCTATATACTATGGCCTATCAAGATGATCGGATGGATGCTGTGACCGGACCGCTGTGGTCCCCCACGGACCGCGGACCGAGCCTGTCGGTTATCGTCCCCTTTTAGTAACCTGGGGTAATAGTTCTACAGAGTATACGCTGGATAATCACCGGAATTGTACCACTAATCCAGACAACAGTTCCCATTGTAGACAGCTTGTTTACAGTCTGGCCCGTACACTGCCAAGCTCGACCAACCGGTTTCCTATATCGCGCAGTATGTGCTTCTGGTGTTTTCCACTGCCGGTTTTGGGGAAATCGTCGCCGACGCCCGCATCGCCGATCCAGAAGATGTGCTGGGGCGCCTTATGACGACCCAGGGTCTGACTGACATGCTGCCGGAGTTCATCGTGGCACGGCCTTGAGCCCTCCCGGATCGACTTGAGGAAGCAACCGACGACTTCCCCATACCGTTCGTTCTTGATTCCCACCACACTGGCCTCGCTGATGGCGGGATGGGCCATCAGTCTCTCCTCGATTTCTCGGGGAAAGATATTTTCCCCACCTAGTAGTGAGAGTAGTTAGCATTTGATTGTGACCCTAAAAGAGTGGGTGTAAATCACCTCGAATGATAAGATCCTTGATGCGACCAGTGATGGAGGCGTATCCGTCGTCATCAAGGACAGCCTCATCGCCCGTGTGCATCCAGACAACCCCGTTCTCATCCGGCCGCATGACCTCCTTCGTCTTCTCTTCATTCCGCCAGTAACCTTTCTGTAATGCGAATCCACTGATACAGAGTTCTCCCCGCTCCCCTCGCGGCAGGATCCGGCCGTTGCGATTGACCACCTTGGCCGCCGTATGGGGGATGACTCTGCCCACCGTCGACGTCCGCTTCTCATCAGAGTCATCCAACCCCGTGATAAAAGTGACGGGGCTCGTTTCCGTCATACCATATGCAATCAGCATTTTCTCGACTCCCATTTCTGCGCGGAGCCGGTTCATCAGGGCCTGCGACACGCTTGATCCCGACGCTAGGCCCGTTCGCAGGCGTCGGGGCTTCTTGCCCAGTCGGGCCAGCGCCTCCAGCTCGGCGATGTACATGGTCGGCACGCCTAAGATGACCGTCGCATCCTCCGCGAGTATTGCATTGACGGTCCTCTTGACGTCGAAAAAGTCCGACGCAAAGAAGATGCTACTGCCATGGCAGAATGAAGCCAGAAACCCTAGGACAAGTCCGAAGCAGTGGAACAATGGAGGTGAGCAGCAGATGACATCTTCTGGTCCAAGGCCCATCGCTTGGCCAACGAAACGGGCATTGTTGAGGAGGTTACTGAGAGTTGTTATGCCGGTAGGACTCATCATATGGGGGGTGATGGAAACTTACGTATGAGTCAACATGGCAGCTTTCGGAGAGCCCGTTGTCCCTGCAGATCTTACATGAGTTTGATAAGATGCAAGAAGATGAGGTGAATCACATACCTGAAGTAAACTGTAGGTTGAGGACATCTTCGGAGGAAATCTTTCGGGCAATCTCTGCCTGTACTCTGAGGCTAGGTTGCGAATGGCGCGTAAAAGTGTCGTAGGATTGCACTTCCACCCCGGCTTGGCCATAGAGTCCCTCATCGGTGAGCACTACTCGACGCAGCTCAGGGAGCCCCGAGTTAGGAGACTGCTTTCCACGGAGGGCGTCCACATGGCCTGCGAGGCTCCGTGTTCCGATGGTAGAGCTGATGAAAACAAGTTTGCATGCTGACGAATGATCAGTCTTTGTGGGGGATAGGGTCTTGTGAGACATACAGCTCTGACGAACAGCTCGTGTCAACTCCACAGGGGTGTAGGTATTGTTCAACACCACCACAGGGCAGCCAATGCGACCACCACCGAGGAAGACCTCAATATATTGGTAGCAGTTGCCTGCCATAATGCCCACGCAGTCGCCCGGTTGCAAGCCCATGTTGAGCATTGCTTGGGCTAGAATCCGGCTCCTTTGCGCCAGTTGACTGTATGTGAGGCGAACGGACTGCCAGGGCACAACGACCGCCTCGCGTGCGCCATAGCGAGCTTCCTGCTCATCAATCAGCTCGCCCAGGGTCTTGTGCCAGAGAGCGGGCTCGGTAGCGCCGTGGACTACAGTTGGAGCGGGAGTCATAGTACTTGGAGCTTCGAAAGGAAACTAGAATTTGAATTTGACACTTCCTTCATTTGGGACAAATCTAATATACACCATCTAAGAGACCATCCCCCGCCTCCTGAGGGTGGGATTATCTCCGGGGCGTCGGTCCGATGGGGCTGGGGAATGCCCCGATTGCAGCGGCAGTACTAAGTCTGCGGCCCACGACACTATCTCAGATATTTGATTTCTTCTTCTCCTATCCTCTGGTTCCAGACAGGCAATTCGATCAACCCGTTCGCTTTGTGAGCTACTACCATGGCCACCGAGTCCTCGTTTCCACCCCTCACATCGAAACTCGACCTCTCGGGCCAACAATATCGGTCCAACCGGGAAACATGGAACAGTGTCCTTGAGAGATTTGAAGAGGCTCTGGGCCAAGTTTCTGTGGAAGGAAACGATGTTTCCCTAACGCGTCATCAGACCAGGGGCCAACTGCTACGTATGTTTTAAATGCTTCTGTGGAGTAACACAAACCTGACATCCGTCGAAGCCCGCGATCGCATTGCGCTTTTGTTAGACCAGGACTCGCCTTTTCTAGAGATTGGCGCCTTTGCGGGCTATAGGAATCCCGATTCCACACCCTGTGCCAACTTGATTGCTGGGATTGGGAATGTTAGTGGACGCCCTTGTATGCTCATGTCGCACATCCCAACCCAGAGCGGCGGTGCTTGGAACGAGATGACAGGTGTGTGTCTATATTCATGCAATTGAAATGAAGAAACTACGCTAAGTCTACTGTTTTAGTCCTCAAAACGAATCGAATCATGGAGATCGCTTTCGAGAACGATTTGCCACTGATTTCCCTCGTGCAATCGGTACAACCTTTCCCTGTCTTTTGTATATCTCACAAATGCTCACGGATGACCCCAGGCCGGCGTTTTCCTCCCTCAACAGTTTCGCGTCTTCCACAAGGGAGGCCAACTATTCCGAGATCTCGCGGTCCGCACACAGCACGGAAAACCGTCCTGCGCCATTGTCTTTGGCTCGTCCACGGCTGGAGGTGCATATCATCCTGCTCTGTCGGACTATACCATCTTCGTCGAGAACCAAGGGCAAGCCTTTCTGGCAGGGCCCCCTCTGGTGAAAATGGCCACTGGGGAGGTGATTGGGGCAGAAGAGCTGGGAGGAGCCAAGGTACATGCTATGACGACTGGCCTGGCTGATCAAATTGCTACTGATGAGTATGTAAAAACATTGTCCTACAAGATGACCGCAGCGAGGTTAATAGCAATCAATGAATTGCAGACTCGATGCCATCCGCAAAGCACGAGAGTGGGCGGCCTCACTCCGTGTACCCTCTCCCAAAACGCCGCTGGACTGCATCGAGCCATTGGCCCCAAGGTATCCCGTGGAAGACCTTTTGAGCCTCGTCAACCCAGATATTCGCAAGCCATTCGATATGCGCGAGGTCCTGCTACGCCTGGTCGATGACTCGCGATTGTCGGAGTTCAAGCCCGAGTACGGTCGCAACATGATCACTGGATGGGCACACCTCTACGGTAAGCATCGCGGTCAGTCATTTTCATCCTGTGGAACGCTGATAACATTTTTCACGCCAGGCTTTCCGGTGGGAATAGTGGCCAACCAGATGTCCGTCATCAATCCGACCGAAGCAGCCAAAGGAGCGCAATTCATTCGCATGTGCAACCAGCAGTAAGTCCTATCCCTGTTTTACCGACTCTGGTCCACATACTAAACCAGTCGATTCAATAGAAACATCCCAATCATCTTCCTTCACAACGTCACCGGGTTCATGGTTGGCGCCAAAGCGGAACACGCAGGTATCATCCGGTTAGGCGCTCAACTCGTCTCCGCCGTCAGCTGCTCGACCGTACCCCATATCTCCATCATCATGGGAGCATCGTACGGAGCAGGCAACTACGCCATGTGCGGCCGCGCCTATCGCCCGCGCTTCTTGTTCACCTGGCCCAGCGGCCGGTGCAGTGTGATGGGGCCCGAGCAGCTTTCGGGGGTGATGGAATCGGTGCAGACGGCGAGCGCCAAGGCCAAGGGACAGGCCCTGTCGCCTGAGAAGCTGAAGAAGCAGGTCGAGAGGTTTCGCGATGCGGTGCAGACGGATGCAGAGTGCTATTCTACGAGCTCGATGTTGATCGATGATGGGATTATTGACCCGCGGGATACCAGGGATGTGGTTGGGATGTGTCTGGAGGTGGTGACGATGAAGGGGGTGAAGGGGACTTTTACTCATAGGTTACTTGCGCGTATTTAGCTGATTTAGGCCAACATTTTCTGTTTGTTTAGCTAGGATGCGTGTTGCATGTGTTGTGGTGTAGACCCCAATGTGAGAGATATCCAGAGTTCACAAAGACCATGTTGGTCTTCCACAAAATGTTAGACCATGCTCCAATAACGAAGACCTMACCTAAAGGTCTGGAAAGCCAACAGGTGCTCTTCTCGACAGATCAGCCAAGAGGTTAGAGTCAGACTGTGGGATTGCCGTAGAGCTGGCGGTCCGACTGATCAGCACCGACGGACGCGGACTGCGGACCGACGCGGGAAGATTGACTCGTCTGCCAACCCTAATCATCGGATAGCCGTTGCGATGCGGAGTTGGGATGTATTTCTTATGAGAAACAGTAGCGCTCCGTGTACTCTCTAGAGTTTGCCTGGTCCAACATCTACTAGCAACGGTCACTCAACAAACATGACTGTGTCTACCGAAGCGCTCGAGCATCATGCTTCCCCCGCGCGACGCCCTCCGTATGTAGCTGTGCCTCCCCTCGGGCCCGATGGACGTCCGGTTATCCAACGAGTCCTGATTGCCAATCGGGGCGAGATCGCAGTCCGCATTATCCAAACCTGTCGCAAGTTGAACATTGCGACTGTTTCAGTCTATGTGACCGAGTGAGCCCTCCCCTTTATAACGCGCGGCGTGTATACCAAACTGACCAAACCCAACAGAGATGCCACGTCGCGCCACATCCACGAAGCCGACGAAGCCATTTGTCTGGGCCGGTTGGATGGCCGCGCACGCAATCCGTTCCTCGACATCGACCTCCTCGTCCAAACCGCCCTCCAGACGCAGACACAGGCCATTCACCCGGGATACGGCTATCTGAGCGAGAACGCCGAATTTGCGACCCACGTGCGCCAGGCCGGTCTGATTTTCATCGGGCCCAGCGCAAGTGCCATGTCCTCGCTGGGCGACAAACGGTCTGCCAAGGAATACCTGCAAAAGCATGCGCCCGATGTCCCCCTCATCCCTGGGTTCACGGGGTCCAGCCAGGTGGCAGATGAGCTGGCTGCTGCGGCCGCCGAGATCGGGTTCCCGGTAATCTTGAAGGCGTCTGCGGGTGGAGGCGGGAAAGGAATGCGGATCGTGCGGGAGGCAGCGCAGCTGAAGGATGAGCTGGAACGCGCGCAGTCGGAGGCCCAGCGTGCGTTCGGATCCAGTGACTGTATCCTGGAGAAGTACATCGAGTCTGCGAAGCACGTCGAGATTCAGATAGTTGGGGATAGCCATGGCGAGGTGGTGTCATTCCTAGATCGGGACTGCTCCGTGCAGCGACGGCATCAGAAGGTCATCGAGGAGACGCCTTGCCCGTTTCTCACCGAGCGGATGCGTCGAGATATGAGTGCCACGGCGGTGCGGATTGCGAAGCTGATCGGGTATGAGAATGCGGGGACGGTAGAGTTTGTGGTGGACGTGCAGACCCAGAAGTTCTATTTCTTGGAGGTCAATGCCCGGCTGCAGGTCGAGCATCCCATCACCGAGGAGCTGACGGGGTTCGACCTGGTTTCGCTGCAGTTGCTAGTGGCGGCTGGTGGGAGTCTGAAGAGCATACCGGCGTTCACCCCGCGAGGACATGCAATCGAGTGCCGCCTCTGTGCTGAAGATCCAAACAACAACTTCTTCCCCGAGCATGGAAAAATCCATCTCTGGCGTCCTGCAGACGGAGTCCTCGGACCAGGTCGGGATGTCCGCTATGAGACAGCCATCCAGACCGGATCCGACGTCTCGATCTACTTCGACTCCATGATTGCCAAGATTGTCGTCTGGGCTCCCACTCGAGCACTGGCAATCGAGAAGATGAGCCAGGTCATGGCACACACGGCCTGTGTCGGCGTCAAAACCAACCAACTCTTCCTGCAACGTTGCCTGCTGAACCCTGAATTCCGCAAGCCAACCTACACCACCTCGTTCATCCCAACCAATCTTGAGCAGTTGCTTCGATTCCCTGAAGCGCCCTTTCAAGACCGCCTGCCTATCATCCCGGCCTTGGCCATCCGCAACCTGTCCGAAGCCACAGCCACCGGCCGACAGCCCTTTCAGCGAATCCGACAACAATTCCGCAATCAGCACTGCGATCCTGTAAACATTCATTGCGATGTGGTCACCACAATCACCGGTCCACAAACTGGGACATCGACGATGTGTATCTGGGAACCCCCAGCAGCCGGACAGTCGGCACACACGCAACGCGCGCGCCTCATGCCCATCCCCGCAGACACGCAGACGACGCAGGAGAAAGCCAGTACCGCCACATATCGATACAACGCCATCAGCAGTCTTCTTCGCAGCGGAGCCACGAAAAGGCTAACGCCACCAAGCGTGCGGATAGAGTCCTGTCGACCGACAGCCATAACCGCGGACTCCACAATCCCTCCGAATACATTCACCATGGAGGTATCCGTTGACGGACGCAGAATCCTCAGTCATGTTGCCATTCCCTCGGCCGGTGCAGCTCCAGGAATGGTAGACCGCTCGCAGCGAATATACTGCCATTTTCCTTCGTTGGGCACGTACGTGGAGTTTCAGCGGGACAGCCTGCTGTCCTTTGCAGAGGGTCTTCGGAAGGATGCCACGGTGGAAGAGGCGGAGAAACGCACGGTGACTGCGCCGATGCCGTGTAAAATTCTCTCCATTGAGAAGAAGAGTGGGGATTTGGTCAAGGCTGGGCAGGCGGTCATGGTCATCGAGAGTATGAAGATGGAAGTGAGTATTTCAGTGTCCGTGGATGGGAGGTTTGAGACAGAATGGAAGAAGGGGGATGCAGTGGAGGAGGGCAAGGTTCTTTGTACAGTGGTTTAGTTCGCTTGGTTTGACTTAGGATGTGTTGTAGGTTTAATAAACTGGGATATGTCTTTAAGAAGCACTTCATGTTTGCTATAGTGAAGTGGATAGAGAATGGTATATATGACTATTCACTCATGGAAAAGAATACCTTGCAAAAGCCTAAATTACAACTTACTCTCCTTCCTGGCCATGGCCTTAATCTCCTGATTAACCGCCAAGTCGGACAGAATCTCTTCACTCCCCCCTCCCACGACCATGACTCTGACATCCCGACTAATCTGCTCAATACGCGCTCCGCGGCCGTTCTTCGAGTATCCCAGCCCTCCCAGAACCTGCTGAGCCTCACGATTCACCATCTCGAGCGTCCTGCCAGCCAACACCTTCAAGTTGGCAAACAATCCTCCCATCGCGATATCCCTGCCATCCTTTCGCGCCATTTCGGACATGTAAACCAGCTGTTCCATCCAGGCATACGCCGAGTCGAGGCTGCGGCCCATGGCGCTGAACTTGGACCGGATGACCTGATTCGCAATCAGCTTCTTCCCAAAGGTCTCGCGGCTGATTGCGTGTTTGTATGCGTCTTCGGCACAGACGCGAGCCATGCGCAGCGAGGTACAAGCCAGCCACAGACGTTCGTGATTGAAGTCTACATTACTTTAGTCCCCTCCCCAAACTATCATAGATGTAGATCATAGACATACTGTTCATGATGATGGGAAAGCCGTGGTTTTCCTGCCCCAACAAGTTGGCCACCGGGACCCTGACCTGGTCGAACTCGATGTACGTTGAGCCTGCCAGGAGTCAGCATAGAGATCGCAATCGGCAGAGGAACTGTACTCCTTACCACTCGCCTCCACGCCTGAATTTCTAATCTTGCGACAAGTCACACCCGCTGCCTTCATGGGAATAACCAGGGCTGAAATACCCCGAATCCCTTCGCGTCCTGTCCGAACAGCGGCAGTGCAGTAATCCGCAAAGATGCCATTGGTAATCCACTTCTTCGCCCCATTCACGATATAGACATCTCCTTTCCGCTCAGCCGTCGTCGTAATTCCCGCAACATCAGACCCAGCTACAAAATCAAAACACCATCAGTCTAGGTTATATGTTATACAGACAAAAAAACCCACCATCTGGTTCCGTCACCCCCAAACAAAACCTCGCCTTCCCGGTCAACATATCAGGCAAGAAGCGTCTCTTCTGCTCCTCATCCCCAAAGTTAATCACCGGCGGCCCACCGATCGAGTTCCCACAGCCCAACGCCCACACAATCCCCAGATATCCACACCGCGCTAGCTCGTCAATCACGATCAGATCGTGGAACCCGTCCCATTCGCGGGGATCAATATCCCCGGGGAGCCGCTGGCCATGCAGATAGTCCTTTGCAAGAGGAAAGGCCGCGACGGCGGTATATCCGAGCTCGGCGTGGCGGGTTTGGACCTTTTTTTGTGCGACAATGGCAGGTTTCAGTTATTTGGTCAGAGAAGTTTTAGTAACGGTGAGTACTCACCTCGACAGGCACCGAGCCTTGTTGCTCCCACTCCTCGCAGAAGGGGGCAATGTGGGTGTCCACGTATTCACGGACTTCCCGTTGTAGGCGTCGGTGGGACGCGGTGTAGTAGGGGCTGTAGGGCCGGTTGAGCCAGAGAGGGTCGGCGAACGGGGTATTGGATGCAGTGGAGGACATGTTGTTAGCTGGGATCAGTCTTACGAGATGCTTGAGGCCACATGCTCTAATACTACCTAGGCTATGAGTTATATGCAAATGTAGCTACAGCAGGTCCGGGCCGCCCGCGGAAGGGCCCTTGCGAACCTGAGGAAGGTGTATCATTGGACTAGTAGCTTGGAGATGGTCGAATAAACCCGGTAGGCTGTGGATAAAGATCCATGTCTGTATCCTGCAACTGTACTTCGGACCGATATGCCAAGGCTCGTAGTCGGTCCGCTCGTCCGTCCGATGCGCTTAGGGTTTCCGTCCGACCCCGCATACCCCGCAATGGGCTTGAACACATCCCTTGCAACAGAGGTTACATTGACTGGTATCGATAGTGAGAGTTTGTATTATATTAGTAACATTACAAGACTTGTCCCCGACGGGACACCGGCACCCGCTTTCTATACGACAACATCACAAGCCTGAGAAAAAGCTCCGTCCTGCTCTCATAATTAGGATCAATTCAATGTCATCAGGGGAAAGGATTCCCACCTTTCTTTGAGCATCATCATCAACCCCTGTACCAAAAATCCCTTGACTATCTGGGGTGCTAGGCCTTTGTACAGTCTCCGTAGACCCTCATGCTGAATAATGAAGAGAAGGACTTCCGTAAATCCCCGGAAAGCTCGACCGTCTCGGCAAGCAGGTGGCTTTGACTGCAGCATGGTCTTGGACACGATCAGTGGGTGAGTGACAACCGTGGCCGCGACTTTTGACAGAGCCCCGAGTACTGGCCGTTTGTTAGTCGGCCTTTCATCAAAGAGACAGCAGAGACGGTGGATACACACGAAAAGCATCCGCAAATCCCAGTCGGTTCCTGAAGCGGAGCAGGGCTCCTCGCAGCCACTGGTAAAGACCATACGTGATCATAGGGTTGACCACGAGGATGAGGTTGACTTTCAACCCTCGCCACAGTCCCGTCCAGCCATCCTCACTGCGCACAATATCCGTTAGCACTCCAAAGATGGACTTTGCTTCATCTGCTCCCCGACATGTCTGCTGCCTGGTAACGATGACCGCAATGGGGTTGGTGCAGATCTGGGCCATGGCCCCTCCCACCGCGCCCAGTAAGAGCTCCTTGACGATACTGTTTGAGTCTGGGATATTGTAACTTTTGAGGAAGTGTTGACACACGGTCCGTGCTTTGGTCGACCAGTAGAAGTAGGCGAAGTTCATGGAAGCGGTGCTGAGAATGGAACTGCTTAGCCCACGATACAGTCCCGAGATGCCTTCTTCCTGCACCACATGGGAAACTGCGTCAATCACGTTATCATAGCTTGTAGGAATAGGTTGTGGGCTGCGTGGTTCGTCCTCTTTGGTTTCGGTACACTTGGGTCGACTGTGGACTTGCACCTGGAGTCTCGTCTTGATACTGTCTTAAGTTTAGAGAGGATGTTGGAACGGTGAAGACCGGAGATCTCAGCCAGAGGGAGGTGAGGCTTACGTGTCAAGAGGGTATATAATGATGTTTGCTAGAATTGCTGCCGTAGTCCCAGAGGCAACCGCCTCCCACGGCGAGGATTGATTATTGCTCGTCATGTTGATATAATCAATGTAACGGATGATGGTGTGGGACGCGATTGGTGTGCTGGCATCATCTTTTATCTCAGAGAAGGGTGAAGGCACATGAAGCGGCTCGGGAAAGGGAAACGGTCCGGCGGATGGCCGTTCCGATCGAGGCAGGCAACACTCCCATGACACAACTCATCTGGACATGTGTCAAATGTGTCCAGTCCTCGGCGTGCTACAACCAAGCAAGTATTCTACTTCGCTAAGTCGTAAAGCAGGCGACAGGCCACGAAACATATCTTCATGGCTTGTGTGCACGCTGGGGGATGCGGCGGCAAGAAAGTCCGACCCTAGAGTCCATGAGGTCGGCGAGGGCATGCGGGGCACGTCTGAGCCGGATGCATTGGATGTCTTGCGTGGATTACTTCCCATGATAGAATAGTCGAGCATGGACCAGAATGTCTCCTCAGACATAGGATCCAGATCCCTCGTCACACCAGTCGGATCGAGAACGCTGCCTAGGCGATGTTGCTGTGCGTGAAAGTCACGCAGTCGCACCGACTATTCCAGAAAAATTGGTTAATCAAAAGCACCGCCGGCTGGCAGAGTTTACATACCATGTTGGCTGCATGAGTCCAGAAATTGGCTAATCGATCTAGGATATCCATACCACGTTGAAAGCACTCCAGCATATCGGAAGGACGATACAAGGCGATTTGAGATTCCTCGTGCGACGCGATCGAGAGAATACCACCCGCAATAGCAACACAATATGCGTAGAAAGAGGATTCAACGAGGCCTCCTGCATCAGACACATCCCGGAGAAGATCCACCAGGTGTGTGGCATGATCGAGCCCGTTTTGGACTGCGCGGGTCACGAAGCTAGGAGGAACCTTGGAGCCAAAGGGCTTGAGACAGAGCCTGAGAACAAAGGGATGATTCAACAAGCAGTGACAGAGGTGGAAGAGCGTATGCGCAAAGACTCGGTGACCAAGTTCCTGATGGTCAATGATCCCCACCGTCCCAACACTGGCTGTTAGCATATCGACCACTAACGTGTTGCCCATCTTTGCGTAGGACTCGAACAGTAGCAACGATGAATTGATGGCAGAATATTCCGACTTTGTGCCCCAAGGGGGAATCTCGTCGGAATGGCGGTTTGCATACACATACCTGGTGCAGCGCCCGAAGATTGATGCGAGCAGGATTACCAGAGCAAACGGACTAGGGGTGTCGGCCATTTCGGTGTTCCAGTCGAGAAGCTGAAGCAAGGTGTAGGTCTTCTTTGTCTCCCCCTGCCGGACGGTGCTTTCATCACATGGAAGCTGTATGTGACAATCTTGGTCCAGAATGACGAGCGGGCGGCATCGTCCACATGAAATGAGTTTGTCGATCAGGTATACTGACCAGAACGCTCGTCGACGTTCCTCCTGTTCCGCGACAGGTAACCAGCCCTCGGGCTCTCCCATCAGGCCGATTCCTTGGGAGATGCGGGCTGCCAGGCCAATTTTGAGCCAGCCTGAATTGACCCGTCCAGCTAGGAATACAAGGAAGAGGTTAGCAGCTCGTTCGGCGTGAAGCCTAGTTTGACAATGACACCCTACCGGTATAGTCGATCACTGCTAGCATATTCACAGTTTGCACCACATGGACACCCATATTATCCTCCACGGTCAGGTGATCGGTAAGTACAGATAGCCATGCTTCCCGGGCATAGACATCTGATGCCTCGAGCATTCTTCCAGCATAAAATTCATGTGTGGAGAAGCGGACGGCGGATGCCAGTACGGCTAGGATCAGGCATCGGGGCAAGGTGCCATTCTGTAGCCCTTGTCGAAAAGACGTCTCCTGGAAGTTGCTATACGGCTGGTTGTGAACGTGAGTAAAATATGTGTCTATGACGGAGCTTAGGACGGATTGGGAAGGGGCTAGGAAGGAATGATTTCCAGAGATAGCAGGCTGCGATAGAGAAATTTGCTGCCCGGGAGGTCCAAGGTCCATTAAGGGTCTCGGATATACTATTAGCATACATAGACATGGAGTCGACCAATCTTCTGGTTGGGCCCTACCTGGGTTGTTGTGCAGTCTGCCCACTCAGCTCTGCCAAGCGCGACTCGATCAACGAGATGCGTTGCAATAGTTGGGTCTGTTGGGTCTGGGAGATGGTTAGGCACAAAGCAACAAATGGAACCAAGCTTACAATCGTACATTCTCAGCGTTCGATGTCACGGGAGCATTCGGAGGGTTGTCGCCGACGGTGACGGAGTAAGGCTCGTAGACACAGGTGTGCTTATTACGGCGACAGTGAAAACAGATTGGACGCTCCCCGGAGCATTTTGTTTTCCTTCGCCTACACCATCGCTCAGCCGCTTAGCTTTATTCAAGCCACTGAATTGGTTCACGTACCGGCAGTTGGCGCAAGCTTGTCGAATTCGTTTGAGATTACCCTTTTGCAGGGAGTCCATCAGAGGATTCATTTCAAGTCCGAAGATAGACAGGTAACAAGATGACTGGATAACTCGCTGATGGACAATGGACAATGGCAATGGCAATGGCAAGTTGTGGGGTCAGTTAGCAGAATGACCAGGGGATGGAGAATTGCCGGGGGAAAGGCAGAAAGAGGGAGACCCCAGGGCGGAATCCATGCGGGGCGCCCGCGTTTCTTATGCGGGGAAACCACAATGACCTTGCCAAATAAGGCGTAGGGCTATATTCACAAGTTCACAGCTTAGCCATAGGTGACATTAGCAACACTTTACACATACCATAAATCCCTGTTTTCTGAATTTGCAAACTGTGATTTGCTATTTTATATCACCGCTTCTGTATTTATTGATCCACTGGTCGCTGGGCACAAAGTTAAGCTTACTTTATTTCATGATAGCTTTATTCAACATGCATCTAATTAAACATACTAGTTGATTTAAGGATATATGTTGACTGGCAAGACAACTAGTATTTAACCTTAACCCCCCTCAACAAACCAACTCTTTCCCCCAAAACACCATCATTCTATCTATCACATAGGGATGATCTGACAGAATGTCAGAATCTCTCGGATTTGTTCCCCGTGGGTAAGTCACTGTTCACTCTTCACTTCAAAATGCAGCGAATGAAGTCATCCGAACAAGCGAGAAGATCTTAATTATATATTCAATTCAAAAGAGCTCCTGCTGACCCTGACAGGCACCGTCAGTGAGTTCTCCAGGCACCAGTTCTGGGCCAGTCTCATAATTTTCGGGGTCGTCGTCATGAGAGCCTCGTAGGGTTTGGCCCACCAATACGGCTTTCTCGGCAACGGAGTATGCTTATATTGAGAACGTGGAGACATCCATCGTGTTCTCCGCTGTGTTGAAGACTAGCCGGAGTCCTGGATCTACCTTGGCCTCGTTGTGAGAGAACATTTTAAACACTAGCAAAGAGTACGTCAGCAGGGCCATCACGAGACACCAGGAAAAGGGAAATGGAAAAGGAAAACACACCGCCATTGGCCCCTTGAACTCCGATGGTACACTGAGCACCCTTGTCCACGGCATCATAGTACTGATAAGTGACAATATTCGGGTGCGCTTCGTCAATACGCATGTTAAAGTGGAAGTATTGATCTTCCTTTGAGTACCGTGTCACATACCATTCCACCGTGAGAGATCTCGACCCTGGCTGTCCGACAATCTCATAGTAGATCCCGTGTGGTTTTCCCTCACAGATCTTCAAATCAGTCCAGAAGGGAAACATTGAGTATGGGGCAATCTGATCGTAGAAGGGAAGAACCTGTCCTGTTCGCTGTTGCTCGCCTGTTCCGCCGGCCGAATCCAAACTGAGGATGCCATTGTCCGTCACGAAGACCTTGTTGGTGCATTGATTGAAGAGGCTGACAGCAAATGGCAGCTCAAGTGGGAACCACTTGTCATCAATGCTCTCAGTTGCGCCCCTTAAACTGCCCACAATCGCGATTGGGTTCCTTAGAGTCTATAGAGACTGTATTAGTAAAAAGGAAGGTGGAAAGACATCAACAAGCTGGAATGAACTGGCCATACCACTTTATTATCGAGAACCGGTTGTGCTTCTTCTTCAGCTTGTTCTTCAGCTTGTTCTTCCCTTTCCCTGGGTCTCGCCTGAAGTTCTTCAAGAAGCTTCTTCTGCGCCGCCAACATATCATCGAGATAAACTTTCACCATGATGCTGTGGGCCCCTTCTTTAATTTGGAGAAGGGAATTCTCAGCCCCATGAATAGCAGTCAATCCCTCGTGGATGGCCGCCGCAGAAGAAGCAGGGTCGACGATTTCACCTTGTTCGGCAAGCGTGGTCACCTTGTCGGCGAGTTGCTGAATCTTTCCGAATTCATCTTCTGCCTTCAACCGGCCCACCAATATGTCCTTGGTGAGGTCCGTGAGATCCTTCCCAGCTTGGACAGCACTCTCTACATTCTGGGCTAACACGTTGAACACACCGGGATCCCGGCCAAAGACCTCAGTAATTTGGGTCTGGACCAGGTAGATTTCCTTTACCACCTTCAACACTCGCCACTCGTACTCAGATGCTGCAGTGGCATATTCCTGACTGCGATTCAGAGCTATTTTAGCCTGGCCCTTGAACTCGCTCATATCTGCAGTGACTCTCCGGACGTATTGGCGGTACTTCAACAGGATAAGCTGCCACGATATCAAGCCGAGAATGGCGAGCCAGAGGACTGGGAAGAAGAAAAGGATGATTAGGACAAGAGTGATGGTGTGCCCGCCGGTGACGCCGTCGAGCCAAGTGGTGAGAGACTGCCATTCCAGGTATGCAAATCGTAGCTGCCAGGAGACGTTTGTAGATTGACTGGCTGCAACGAGCAAAGCCATTGCCACGAACAACGGCACAGAGACCAGAGACTCAGTCGAAGTAGTATCTGACCCTTTCCAGCCCCAGCTGACGGCGAGTTTCGGGTATGCCAGAGCCAGGATAACCAAAGCGGCGACTGGAAGCGTATCACTTCAATCAGTAGAACGACTTGACTGCACACTGGGAATATTTACCCTTGTGTTTCTCCACTAACCGAAGAATCTTCTCCAAGGCCCCGAGTGTCTCCACAAGTGATGCTCTTGTGTCCGGTTCGTTCGCATTGTTACTGGGTGGGTTCGTTTCCATAGTGGGCCAACTGCTTCTGTAGCTAAGATTTCCGTTAAGCAAGCAATCGGCGTTGAAAAGGATAGAATGAATAATGATCTGGTGGCAACGACCCCGCGGTGATCAGGCCTTATAAGTACACGCAAGGCAAACATATAGTCACTCGTGGGGACTGAGAATAACCCATCTTAGTCCAGTCCGATTTTCATCAGTCTCCTGGTTCAGCTCCGTAAGAGAGGGAATCGTAGCGCCCCCTGCTCCGACCCTTGGCTTAGTACATGCAGTAACATGCTTACCTGCAGACGGGATACGGGATCATAGCTAAGATAGGGCCGACAAGACCGGCTCTACACTACTGGCTCACCAGGCTTCAGGCTGCTAGCCTGCTATGCATGACTTCCCAACCAGTTGTTGAATATGTAAGGTAGGCTTGGAACCAGACGGTGCACCAGCTCAGCCACTATGGTATTATCTACCTACAAATAGCGCTAGGAATAGGATTGGGCCTTCCACAACATGCATGACAGCCGTAAAGCGGGGTACTCTGCAAGAGTGATGGCACGGGGCGCTGAGGATTGGGTTTCTTCTGCTGAACCCTTCAGTATAATTGTTCTATTCTTATCAAGTCTATCCACTTAATGCACGAGCACAAAGTCTTTGACTTTCATTAACTGAGTAAACGTTGAGCCACCCTTTGTATACCCGATACTTGCAGATGTTTGGACAAAGGGGCCCCTGCCTTGATTGTCTAGTAAAATGCTATCTTACAATATGAACTATCCTTCTATTCCTTCGCAAGTGTACGAGGACTGTGATTTTCCCCGCCATGGTGGACCTCACCTGTTGACTGCGAAGTCCTCAACTCCTCATATTGGCAGGCAGTCATGGGATAGCGTTGAATATGAGCTTTCCTGACTGGTCAGGAACTACCAGGGTACGACTCCAGTTGCGTTTGAAATGTGTTGAACACGAAAACGTCCCTCGTGGATCAGCTGGCCCTTCGCCCAGCTGTCGGCTTGAAAAAGGCTCGGGATGAATGAACACCGGCAATATCAATACATAGGACAAGCTTGGACTGCATGAATACGAGCATAGCTAACGCTCTAGACCACTGCTGTAGGTCTGTCAAACTGCATGCTTTTGCCCTGTTCAGCAGAACGTGCGTATATTCAGCCAGCCACCAGCCACTGGTGGTGAGGGGTACTTATTTACTCAACATTAGTGCCATTCTGTCGAACCGGTGGCTGTTGATCTAAGCCTGTTTTAATCTATCAAACAAGGGTTCAATCGATGCTCTCTGCACCATTTCCGGAGTGGCCGAGGATTCCCAGTACCAGAGCGTCTCGCTCATCAATAAAGTAGGTATAGAATCACAGAGTGGAACAATAAGTGGTTTTATTGAGCTTGCATTGCTTCGGCCTTGCCGTCTTCACGACCTCACGAATCCTAAAGACAGGGAATCAGATCCTTTGATGGGCAAGAGTATACCCCGCAAACTGTTCATCTTAGGTGAAGTGATATGTTCTGTATGATGGAAGGCTTGTGTCGAGTAGATGCAGACAAGAGAATATGTCTCAGCTGATGCTACAAGACATACGCCAAAACGGAAGAAGCTGAACCATACCAATCGAAAGGCTGTCTAATCTATTCAGCCAGCCACTCTGTTGTTGACATCCTTGTATTAACGCCAATCGAAGTATGCGGGTTCATTACTACGTATGCTATGGAGAGATGAGGGTTCGGTTTATTTAAGAGAATCTAATATCCAGACTCCCTTCCTCATTCTGCGCTGCATTTTCCACCCACTTTCAATCCTCACACAGTTCTCACTTGCTAGCTTGCTGCTCTGATTATTCTCACTTGATCTTCGACAATCCGACACAATGGCAATTGAGCAAGGCCAGAAGAAGACTAATCCTAGTCCTTATGACCAAGTCATTGTTATGAGCCAGAGCTTTATCAATGCCTCGCTTGCAAGAATGTGGCAAGTGGCGCCGTACAATGATCCCCTCAAGCTGTTCGAACGTAACGGTCCTCGCACACAAGACATGGTCAAAGTTACCTTTGAGCCCCCTCAGATCTTCATTCCTGCCCCTGACCGGGATTATCCTGGTCAGGTATATCTCCGGATGAAAGTTTTGCGTGGCAGGATCTATCTCTACTCAAATTCGACAAACGCATTCCCTGATCCTTACGACATGGATGGATGGGACCTGTATTTCAAAATGAGAATCAGTAAGCATCCCTATCTTCACTAATTACGCTATCAGCGCTTTCCTATTGAGGCCCTTTTCTGTATATTATTTCTGGTTTATGATCACTGATGAGCCAGCCAGGGCACAAGGATAGCGATCGTAACGACCCCAAATATACAGCCTACCAGAATCAATCAGGGTTTACGGGTGCTATCTTCGAACTGACTCAGCTCTATATGGGTTTGTCTGGTAAGTGGCACGCCATTTTTTGATATATTTTCCAACATTACTGGCCGATCTAACCTGGACCGCCTACACTGAACTAAGTTGATTGGAGGCCCGTGAACAGATCCCTCAAATCCGGACGAGGCGTTTGACGACAGGAAGAGCACGTATGCCGCTACGAGCCTTACTCCAGATGCCAAAAAGAATCTTAGAACGGTCATGGCGGACTGGGTGAGGAGTGCTCGGCTTGAGAAACCCAGGTGTAATCTTCTCGGATACGTCTTTACAAGCCAACAACCCCAGACTTGTGAGTTGCGTTCCAAACGATCCCTATAGTGGACTCCACTTGTTGACCGTTCTTTTGATAGTGGGTGGGGCGCAAAGCTCGCTTGTTCCAAAAATAATAGACTACAATGTCTATCCCTGGAGAGGACCTGACGGCTCTGATGGGGACAAGGATGGGATTGACGAGAATGCTCTGTGCATACTAGTCACAACAGGATCCCACCAGGCACCCTATCCTCCTGGAATCAACTACTCCGGTCCATTTGTTGAAAGAGGAGCAACTCTCTGTATCAATGTGAACTGCTTCTGGGAAGACTGGATCCTTCGGGACATCCAAGCGGTTGCCAGAGACACCGAGATTATTGTCGATAAGCCACCACTGTCCATGGGAGGACCCCGTAAATGGGTCATTGGTGTCAAATATCATTTTGGATCCAAAGAGACTCCAAGCTTTCAACGCCAGGTTAAAAACGGAAGGACCAGCTGGGCATGGGCAGGGAAATTGCATAAAACCCGGAGCAACACTTCGAACGTTAATATTGAGGGCGGGAAGCCCTTTCCTATGGTTATTGACGAAACTTGTGTGTTCCGTGCCCTAAGCCTTCTTCTGGGAATTTAACATGCATGCTGACAGTTGAATTATCAAAGCACAATCGTGGATTACCATTGAGCCTGACAGCGGCGATGGGCGCATGTTTTCAATCAAGGGACGGCACGTCTTCTACCATGCATTGCTCTGGAACAAGGACAAGAAATATTCGTAAGTGCAGGATGCAAGGAAGAGTATTTCCCGCGGATTCTACTGACTGGCGGAATTTACAGGCAATGGGTTAAGCTCATTGCAGACTGGCATATCAATTTCAAACTCCAGGCCATCAACGACGGAGGGCTAGAAATCGCCCCCCAGTTGAGAGACAGATCCTGGCTCAAGATACAAACCAAGAAAGGCACCTTCATCCGTACCAATGAAGGCTACCTCAAGAACAAGGCCAGGACAATGGAGAACGAGTTGCGCAAGCGTCTGGAAAACGCAGTCTCCGGGATTTCTAGGAAGCTCAACCAGGCTTTCCAGGTGCAACACAAGTTTATCATGCCAGGATCAGGAGTGTTCGCAATGAGGCACCCTAAGTTCAACGACCGCGGAGATCTTCTGGTTGAACTCGAATATCTCAAGTAAGTCTGCCATCAATTGCACCGTGATGCTCTTTGGGAAGATGCTACTTCCTGTGACCATAATCAAGGCTAAGTTCGTTGCAGCTTCAGTGCTCCTAACTCGAGGGCTGTCGTCCCCACGGAACATGTTGTGGATAATACAGCGGAATCCGACCACTTTCCTTTCGACAAGATTCCGTCCATCTCACCGGATTATCCTTCACGCCAGCCAGTTGACCATCACGATCTCTGTCTGACCAGAGACCATTTTCAAGACGATGTATACCACGAGTATCATGTTGACGAAGATGAGTTGCACGGGGATCACCACTACCATCCAGGCGAGCATGACAATGAACATGAAGATCATCGACCTGATCCGTTCAAGCATACTGAACGCACTTGGCCTGAACCAGGCGATTCTCCTTTCCATTCTGACAATGATGAGCCGGACGATCATAAAACCCCAGACAAGAAGCCTGATGATCATACCCCAGATGAGCGCGCTCATCCGGAGGACCATTCTAGGCCACACCGTCGCCCACAACCAGGCCGTACCGGGCATAAAGATTATGCAAGTGACGATGATGACTACTATTGATCTTTCACAACCACCCAACAGGAATAGCCAGGAGGTACAGTGACTAATAAGTCCTGACTTTTGACTGTTGGAACCCTCACATGCAATGGAAGAGGGGAACCTAGGTTGCTTATTATACTCTGATTTTGTTCTTCATCGTCTCAATGTATAGGACCATGGGAGTAGCAAGGAAAGTCTTCTTGTACTGGGCAGTTTCTGTGTTTATTTAATAAATACCATGTTCACTGAGTGCGACATAGGCTCTAAACTTCAATAACTCAGGAGATATCTTCAGACTGTCCAATTAGAGATAGATTTGCTAGAGTTATCTTTTTATTGAAGTTATCTGGATCAGGCACCTCAAACCGGTGCCAAGCAAAGAATATTTAATTATGGTCCACAGTCCACGAATTGAGTGGTAAGCCACAAGTTAAGGGAATCAACGTAAAGGAATGCATACGGGAGATGAAAGTGGGGTGGAATATGGAGGGATGAAACCTCGCATGCTAGAACAGTGAGATGCATTATTTATGTGCCTGAAGCAGTCAAGCTAACCTGATTTGGGAATTCGTGGGATGTCACTTAAATTGAACTAGCGACGGCATAAAGCTTAGCTAATTACCCTAATTTCTGAGCGCTAAATACGCCAAGGGGGAAGATCTGCGGACCACCATAGCAATGTCCTCACTCAGCATCGCAATGTATTCCTCCATATAACACTTGCAATCATGATTCATCAACTTGTGGATTTGCAGATGCAGTACAGAGGAGTAAACCAAGTGCTTTAGGGTCGTGTCGGGATTTGTGATGCCAAACATGCGGTGAAATAGAGTGTTACAGCCAGCCATGTCCGATATTGATCGGCTACGGCATAAGAAGCAGTGCCGAATGCCGAGTTTGGGTTGCATCTTCAAAACAAGCTCATAACTAGTAGTTCTGACTAGTACTACTACCGGCTAAATTATGCACAGGTTTCCTGGCATATGTCTTGTTCAACATCCACAAAGCATGAATTGCGCAACCCTACCCCAGTGATCGACATGGGGTTCACATTGCTAACCATATTTTTGGCTTATGCACCCAATTTCGAGGATAAGACTGGGCTAATACAGTCAAGGACATAGTAATAGGCCCGAAAAGCGCAAGAATGCCATGCATGCTATTTAAGTGGCCGATCAGCTATAAAGAGTCACTTCCATGATTCTAACCATCCAACACGAATCGACTTTTCATTCAGTCTACTTTTCTTTTTCTTAATCTGACAGTAGAAACGCTTAACCATGGTGGGTGTTATTGACACCGAATCCGAGACGGTCAACGCGCCGCAAAGACTTCTCGCAACTGTCGTCGATTCTCTTGCGATTGAATGTCCTATGCGGCGATTTTGCCTGATCCCCAATGGTACAGAAGTCCACCAAGGCTTCCGCGAAGTGACTTTCAAGGACCTATGTCGCGCCGTGAATACGGTGTCTTGGTGGATGGAGAAGCATCTTGGTAGCTCAATCAAGGGAGAAACAATTGCCTATCTGGGGAGCAACGATATCCGCTACATTATCCTGATGCTTGCTTCACACAAAACAGGCTGTACGGTCAGTCTTTGGACATTGGAGATGGAATGATTGACGATTCGAATGCTGCGTAGATCTTCTTTCCTTCAACTCGGCTATCAAATGAAGCATACGATTCTGTGTTCGGAGCGACAAGATCCAAAATGCTGTTATTCAGCCCGGAGAAGCATCACCTCGTCTCAGGTTTAACCGGGCCAAGCAAATCGATCAGTTCCCTGGAAGTACCAAGTGTTGCTGAAATGCTGAATGACAATTCGAATGTGAAGAATTATGATTTCACGTCGACGTATGAGGAGATGGAAGACAAACCCGCATTCATAATCCACAGCTCCGGAACAACAGGTGAGGTGGAGAACTACTCATTCGCTTGCCCGGTTGGCTTATGATCCTATTATCTCTCTATAGGTATGCCCAAACCTGTGTCTCTTACCCATGGCTTCCTCGGCACTATCGACTACGGCGCGTTCATGCCTCGACCCTCTGGCCGCTCACCGGCCTTTTTTCAAGACCTGCTCTCGGCCGATCCCCATCCAAGCGATCTTGTCCTGTCGATTACACCATACTTCCATCTCATGGGTCTTGCGTCGTTTTTTGAATCGATATTTCACAACATCCCCTTCGTGGCAACCCCGGACCAGCCATTGTCTGTCAACCTGCTGATAGATGTCATCCGTGCAACACATCCTACTGCTACCATCCTACCGCCATCGATCCTCGAAGACATGAGCCGGTCCCAGGAGGCCCTGGAATGCCTCGGCACCTTGAAGTTCGTTTGCTATGGAGGCGCTCCGCTGGCGAAGGAGGTGGGGGACAAGCTAAGCCAGTACACCCAGGTAAGGAACCCAATCGGATCCACCGAGATGGGCATTATCAGCTCCCTTGTCCCAGAGGGAAAGGAAAACTGGGGATTCTTCGAATGGAATCCGACATATGGGATCGATATGCAGCCCGTCGCGGATGGCTTATACGAGCTAGTGATCCCTCGTGTGGAAGGTTCTCGTCTGATGCATGGGATTTTCCATACATTTCCGACTCTGAAAGAGTACAGATCCAAGGATATCTATGTGCAGCATCCGGAAATCCCGAAGCTGTGGCAATACCGTGGCCGCTTGGACGATGTTATCGTGCTCAGTAACGGAGAGAAGCTGAATCCTGTGTCATTGGAGAAGGTTGTCGAAGGGCATCCCTCTGTTCGTCGCGCTCTGGTCGTTGGACAGTGCCGATTCCAGACATGCCTGCTGATTGAACCCGCGATCGATGATCATGCTGAGAATATTGATGAACGGGATTTCGTGGATATGGTCTGGCCTTTGGTGCAGATTGCCAACAAGACCGTTCCTCGATACGGGCAGGTCTTGAAAAACATGATTCGACTTGCGTCCCCCGGAAAGCCATTCAAATTGACGCCGAAGGGCACTACCCAGCGACATGCCGTCAATGAGGACTACGCAGAGGAGATTGACGCAACGTATGCCGCGCAAGACAATCAGCTTGGGGCTGAGCTGCCATCGACGATCGACTTTGAGAGTGTGCATCGCTATGTGCATGAAGTCATTACCTCCCTCACTGGGCGATCTGATATAAAGCCTAGCGATGATCTTTTCGGCTTGGGGCTCGACTCACTACAGGCGATTCAGCTTAGCAACCTCTTCCGAAGTGCAGTCTCGTCTTACAACTCGGGGCTGAGTACGGAAAGCATTACTGTACAGAACGTTTACGCTCGACCCACCACGGATAAGCTCGCTGGTCTGCTTTTGGACGTCCTTCAGGAGCAAGCAGCGACAGTCCTGATGGAATCTCGCTCTGAAAGAATCGCCGGCCTGGTGTCCAAGTACACAGGTGATCTCCCAATTCGATCCGTTAACTCCTCCGCTCCACTGCCTCAGCTTTCGACTGTTATACTCACCGGATCGACCGGATCCTTGGGCAGTTACATTCTTTCCAGCCTATTGAACGACCCTAAAGTCGCAAAGGTATACTGTTTCAATCGGGCTGCTGATGCAGCCACTCGCCAGCATCAAGGGTTTGCCGAAAAGGGACTGGACACCTCGTTCTTGGAAGACCCTTGCAAGGTTGAATTCCTACACGTGTCCTTCGGAGACAAACGCTTTGGCCTTGGTGATTCCATGTACAGCAAACTGCTGGATACAGTTGACCTGATCATCCACAATGCGTGGAAAGTCAACTTCAATCACCCTGTCTCGTCGTTCGAAGGACCTCATATCAAAGGGGTGCGCGAATTCGTCGATTTCAGCCTCGAGAGCCGCTACAATGCCCACCTTGCCTTTGTCTCGTCAGTGAGCACAATCGCAGCATGGACGCCCTCTTCAGATGAGTCCGCTGTCCCTGAAGCGCCAATGGACACTGTGGACTCCGTGCTGAAGCAAGGATACGGCGAATCAAAGCATGTAGGGGAGAGGATCTGTTTGGAGGCGTCACGGAGATCAGGGGTGCCGACGAGCATCCTACGTGTGGGACAGATCGCTGGGCCGGATAGTCGGTTGGGGCTGTGGAATCCCCACGAGTGGCTGCCCTCCCTGGTCAAGACGTCTAAGAGTATGGGAAAAGTACCGGACGGGCTGGGTAGTTTTCTCGTGGACTGGATTGCCGTGGTGAGTCTACCTTGTCGGAAATGATCGCCAGGCTTAACAAGAATAGGACACTCTCGCCAAGATCACAATCGAAATCCTATGGAGCCGCCGGTCATCACTATCCACACAACCTCATGCCGTTTTCCATTTGACAAACCCATCACGGATTCCCTGGGCGCCCCTGATACCTGCAATCCAGGAAAGATATCATGTGAGCCTGGTGCCCCTCGCGGAATGGGTCGATGAGCTGGAACACATCCGGAATCCTTCTACCCAGGACCTTGCCGAGAAACCGGCTCTGAAGCTTCTATCTTTCTATCAGGCATTAGCTCGCAGTGCGGGTGTGCGAAATGCTGAGATCAGCGTGGAGAATTCCAAGGAAGCCAGCAGAGCCATGGCATCGCTCGGGCCGGTCTCGCTCGCTCAAATGTCCAACTGGCTAAACCAGTGGGATTTTTGAGGGTCATCGCTAGCTAGACGAGCCACTGTAGTAGTCTTTCTGAGTCACATAAAAGATTAACGACGATGAGGTAATGGGTAATGAAAGAAATCCAAAGAATGGTCTCTTCCAGCTTAATCTCATACACTTTACATGATTCAGTCTGAGTCTGGGTTAGGGCTTGTTCTGAACCGTATTTCAACAGCAACTCACAATCTCAGTTTATAGTCTCCCCCGTGCCCAATATATTGAATAACCATCATCACCTCATGCAATAACATCTACTTATACTGAAGAAGCTTCTCACAAATCTTCTAGCTCCCTGCTCTTACAGAATGAATTAGAGTTTCACTATAGGAATGTCTTAGAACTTAATATCCTCGCCCTGTTCTAGCGTCTTCATCAATGCCAGTGTTCAACGGGCAACTGATTTCACATCTCCAATGTCTGTAGACCTCACAGGATTTCACCAGGAAATGTATGTCAATTATGCGGCTGCTGTCTCGATTGTCCGTGCGTTCCTCCCCTTTCTATTGGAAAAGATGGCATTCGACTAGTCTAATCTTGTAAGGGGGTACTATGTATACCTCGTGGGATATGGCTAATACTAGTCACCTGCACAATAATCTGAAGACCCTCTGTGCGGAACCTCTCCCGCAGTGCATGATGCTCTGGGTCCTGAGGTAGGGCACGTTCCGGGGAAAAGAAACTGGCGGGTGGGGGAATGGGCCGCTGAATATGGAGTTGGGTGCTGCTTTAGGAGCCGCTTTTCCCTTCATCCTAAAATACCATGTTAACTATACTATATTAACTCTAAGCTGCGTGCCGATAAACAAAGGAGCCATATAGGAGCAGTAAACTGCTTGAAGCAGGCTTTAATGTACAGTGGCGTCCGCCGACAGATGCTCTTTCCAAAGTACCTATGGCGGTATACATGGAAGACTGAGAGGAGATTCAAGCCTTGACCATGAGCGTCCATCCAGAGGTCCACCCTCTAACTAGGATAAAGAGACAGCCGGAAAAGATGGTGAAGACCCCACCAAATACCCAAGTTCTCGTCCAACGCAAACGAGTAGAATCTGCTCCCAGAACCGCACCCGACCCAGGTCCACCAACGAGCGTACTGCATGAGATGATGCCAAAGGCCATACCAATTCTCGTCCCGATTTTCGACTTGTCCGTTGTTAACGCAGCAAGACAGACGGGCGGTAAGGCGATAAAGACACCCGAGAAGAAACCGAAAACCGCGGCGACGACGACTACACCGGCGGCACTTTTTACTGCCAGCATACAGAAGATCAAGATGCCGCAGACCAGGGCTCCTGGACCGATCAGGTTAAAAGGACCAGTCTTGTCGGATATCGCATTGGGGGCTGTTCGACCGAAGACCGAGGCCGCATTCAGAATGGGGATGAGGTAGAATGATAAACTCCGGTTGGTATAGCCGTGGACTTCACCATAAAACGAGATATAGAACAACATGACATACAGGCCGATAAAGCCCGTGATCGCACCGAAGACGAACAGGAGATAAGGCCGATCACTGAAGGCGGTGGTGTCAATCAAGGCCCGGGCTTTGGGAGGCCTGATGCGCTGCCTCATCACCAGGTTGGGGACGAGTAAGGTGGCTAGAGTGATAAACCCAATGACTCGAGTAGACCAGCCAAAGCCAATCCGGTCAATAAGTCGGTAAAAGACGATCGGATAGATGATACCACCCATCGAACTGCCCGCAGCAGCCAAACCCACGGCCAGACCGAGTCTCCTACGGAAATAGGTTGGGAGGAGGGCTATTGCCGGGTTAAAGAGTAGTCCACCGCCGATTCCGACGCAAAATCCCTGGGCCAACACAACTTGCCAATAGGTTTTGCATATACTGAGCATCATATAGCCAAAGATGATGAGGAAAGAGCCGACAGCGAGCAGTGTTCGGAGATATCCTCGGTCAAATGTCGGACCTGAGATGGCTCCGACGAAAAGGAGTAGGAAAGCTTGAATGGATCCAATCCATGCAATGTTTGAGGAAGACTGCGTGAACAATTGACCCTCTTCGTAGTATGTCTGGAAAACTGTTGGATGTAGTCAGCGAATGCACTTTGGTGGCCGCAAGGGCGTAAAGTCGGAGCTGGAAGAAAGTGAATTTACTTACTCCCAAAAGTATTCAAATTGCCCCTACGGATCACGATTAGCTTGGTTCTGCCAAGTGCTGAATGCAAAATACCATGTGTTAAAGAACAGGGAGAATCCACCAGCGACTTGAAGCCAGGCCACAAGTCCACCATCCGGTACTTCAAACATTGGCGACATGACTGGAGCAGGCGGAGTCGCATCGTTCGGTGGCTCTTGTCGTGAAGACTTTTCAAGATCGCCAGAGGTTCCAATTGGCGGCACTGCAACCTGATTGTCCGCATCGCCTGTCGGGCGACTCGGGCTGTTCTGGTTACGCCCAAGCCCATCCTCAGTGCGTCTTTTGCTTCTATATTGCGTCATATTTTGCGTTGCCACGTTTTCAGAGTCGTGGTTGTTGGATGAGGCTGGGCATTGATAGAAGGAAAACAATGAGTTCCAAGACTTCGCGCTTTACATCATACCTATAGGAATAAACTTCTGGGAAACCGGAGGGAAGCAGTTAGCCCCAAGCCCCAACAGTCCGCAATGTCCAACGTCCACTACCTATTTCGTCTGATATTGGGTCCGTTTCTAGATAGACTACAGACCATGCTCCAATCTCCATACCACTACGTACTATGTTGAATGATATGACAGGGGTACTCCCTAACTAATTAGTGTATCTCCCAATCAAACGGCGCAGCTCCCACACAAACCTCTACTAGTCCTCGACTAGTCCTCGACTAGTCCTCTACTAGTCCTCTACTTACCTCCTCCAAGCATTTTGCTAATAGAACCCTAAACATAGACTGGGTCTTAAACTGAATATGGCAGCCACACGCCTAGAACATAGTGAATACAGCCTGGCGACCACTGTCATACTTTTGCAGTTGTATGTTTTTACTCCTTTTTTTCATTTTTATTTATTTTCTTTGGGTGGTGGGCTTACCATAAGTAACAGTACTGTGTGGTTCCTGTCGGCGTGGCGGTGGGAGCTGTCAGGTAGGTAGAAGTAGTGGTGGTGGTTGTATTTGGTGCGGTGGAGTTCCAGTCCTGCATAGGAAAAACACAGTAGTAAACGCCTGGAGGAAGAGACGAGCAATCCTGGTCGATGGAGGGATTTATCGCCATAAAAAGCTCTGTGGTTATGGAGTACTGCAGGGAGATCTGCTGGCAGGTATCGCCTGCCACCACCTTGTGGTACTTGCCGCATTCCGTTGTGGTGCCGCTGGCAGTAGGACCGTCTGGGGTCACCGTTGAGGTGGCATACTGGTTAGTCTTGGTGCCGGTGGCTCCGGCGATGGTGGTGGGGGTATACTGTGCTCCCGAGGGCCCAACGCAGATGTTTGTGTCGGCGATGAGGTTGGAGCAGGCCCTGTTGATGGTGGGGTTGTACATGAAGATGTCGACGACGGAGATGCTATAGGCAGAAGCAATCGATGCGCAGGTGTCGTTGGCTTGTACTTTATAGATCGGGCTAGGCAGACACCTGTGCTTATGAGCAAGTTGTTGTACATTTTTTATCGATTACAAGTTGGATAGCTTACAAGACCTGTCCAGCTAGGAGATTGGATCCATCTGGGAAGATCCCGTTCAGCGTCTTGAGAGGTCCTGTGGGGACTCCTTGCGCCTCCGCGATGGCTTGGATATTATCACCAGCCACGGTAGTATAGAAATTGTTGGAAAGACATGTGGTATTCGACGGATCTGAGTAGTCCACGCCCGGAACCGCCGTGATGTTGGTGGCGGGGGTTTGAACCTGAGTCGGCAACGCCCCGGTCTGACATGTGTGCTGGATCGCAGCCCAGTCGGCCACGTGGTTCTCGTTGTAGTTGGAGTAGGCCGTGGCCTGCAACTGCTGGCTGAGATCCAGCACCCAAGGGGAGCACAGCTGGTCTCTGGAGAGAGTTGTCAGGGACGTGTCCGTCTCTCCGAGCATTGTTTGGATGTTTCCAATCTCATCTATAGAGTATTAGCATTTCAGCCTCGTTCACTATCTCTGGGGTAGTTGTCTCACTCGTGCAATAGACTCCCGTCTTGGGGTCCTTGAGACAAGTGCGGTTGTAGGTGGCCCAGAGAATATCTCCCGCCCAAACGGCCGGTATACCGTCCCAAGGCTGAGGATCTTTTGCACACTGCTCAGAAACAGTGTTGTGGTACGTTGTAAGAGATGTACCGCAGGTACTTTGGCACAGTTGGTCCTGGAATGTATCATTTCAGGGGCAGCCGAGCGCGGAGGATAGTCAGGATGATAATGATGAGGTATAGTAGAGATTCGATTACGCAGAACGGCAGGGGAACCCAGGGGATCCTGGTTGAAATCAATCTATTAGTAGAAAGTGTCGAAAAACGAAAATATAAAATCCCAAACATGGAGGAAGAATGTGACGTAGGGCTCAGGCACAGCTACCTATTTCGGGTGAACGTACCCCCGATCTTGTAGTATATAAGTATCGACTCTCGCCCACGGACCCTCCCATTATCCATCCATCTTAAACATCATGTCCTACCAACTTACCCCCGACGATATCGACAACTCGCGGGATGATGAACCCCCCGCCAGCCGCGCCGCCAAGAACCCCAACCCCGCCGTCCTCCAGGCTCTCCTGGCCTATTACAATGAGATATGCCAGGATGCACCAACAAACCTGCGGCGCCATAATCTTGAGCGCTACTCCCCCAACGCCAGCGTCTCCGGCGCTATCTGGGGCATTTACGAGACCCCCCTAACGGCCGCTATACGGGCAAACCTCCCACACAACATCCAGACTCTTCTCAAGGCAGGCGCTGACCCCAGCGGCATCAGCGCCTTTGAATTGAGTGATTATGCGGTGCGGTTTATCCGCGGCCGGGATCCCAAGATCGACACGTCTAGTTTCGCTCATTGTCCGCCCCGCGCGACTGTCTTGGCCGGTGCCCATGGGAAAGGGATTACAGCGCAGACTGCGCCGTTGACGGCAGCGGAAATTGAGGAGCGGCGGGGGGGGGCTTCCACGGTTCTGGACCGAGCCGAATGTTCCCGCTCAGCGCTTGCGGATGAATGCGGCCTTGACGGCGCTGGAGGTGGCGGCGGGGATGGGGGATGTAAGTGGATTGGATGCTCTGCGGGCGGCGGGGGCAGATGAGTCTGCTTGGTTGACGCAGGAGGGTGAGGAGGAGGGGGGCGAGATGGTTGAACTTTCCAAGGAGGCAGGGGAAGCTCTGTCCGCGCTCTCGACCTCCTCGCCGGTTCATCAGGCTCTCCAGGCCGGACGGCTAGATATGCTGCGCCATCTCCTGGCGGGGTGCGGGTACTCGCCTAACTACCGCCCCCGCGCGGCGCCCACCGTCGCTCTCCCACCTGCGTCGTTTGCGATTGCGCGCTGCGATCTGCGTAACCCTGGTGTGCAGAGGTGTCTGGTCGAGTTACTGGCACATCCGAAATTGAACCTGTGCCTCCGCACCCCGGTTTTTGACGTGCATGTGCTCCATTTTGCGGCCGCGAGATATGATCCAGATCTACTTGGGTGGTTGGCGGGCCATATACCCGGTGGACTGAAAGCTGCTGGGACGACGGCGCTGGGCCATACGCTGCTGCATATCGCTTGCCTGCCGCTGACGGCGGACCAGATTGTGAGCAGGAATCCGGCCCTGGCGAAGAGTATCCACTGCGCGCGCACGTTGGATACGGCTTGGTTGCCACATCGATTGCCGAGTCCGCTGCATATGCGGTTCGCCAGTCCGGGGCAGCTAGGGGGTAATCCCCGGCCGATGAGTGAAAGTGAGCAGAGGGGGTTGAGTGAAACGGTTGGGGTGATTTTGGAGGATGGAGCGGTCGATGTGAGGGCTCAAGATACGGATGGGAATACGGCGTTGCATTACTTAGCCGGGACGTTGAACATGGACGAGGAGGTTGTGCGCATGGTTCGGGGGATGGAAATGGCGGAGGGGCTTTGGGAAAGAGTGAGAAACGAAGCCGGGTTTACGCCGGGGGAGTTGTGGGGGGAGTAATTGCCTATATACAAGTCTCAATCGCTGCGAGCTGGCATGTCTCCGCACTGCATGCGCTGGGCAGCCGCACAATATTCCTTAGCTGAGCCGCCGGATGAGCGATGTGCTGGTGCAGCAATATCATGGACGTCTTGTGTGTGACATGTGCCAGGTCAGATTTGGGTCCATTTTGACAACAGCCTTGTCGCGGGAGACCAGAGAGTCTTTGTATTTGCTAGGGAGGAAGTTTTTCTAGCTACCCTGTTTAGTCTCGATATATCTCGCATATAACTGTATTGAATATAAAGAGACAAAACTTACTGAACCAGCCTCAAGTCCAGCTCCCTCGCTCCGACATTGACATTTTACAATCGGCTGATGGATTCGATGGTATAAAAAAAAGCTCTCGTCGTCGTCGTCATACAATAGTATTGGTTCATATCGTCAGGCTGCCTCGCCCAATGGGCGATGTGAAGATTGTAATCGTTATGATAAAACGAGTGTGGTATATACAAAAGCGAGCGTATGTAGACATGTTCAAAACAAATGCAATAAAAACAAGTATGTACAGACTGGCTAGGACCCGAAGGCAATCGTACGCTACCACAAGCATAACAGACAACAAGTTTCAAGACGTATAGACGGCGACATAGGCGACCTCCATCATGCTGCCGTAACCGTCGAGGGTGGCTGAGTTAGGATTACCAGGCTATAAGGGTTAAAGATACTTCACGTCAGCACTCCCACCTTCTAGACATTCGGAAAAGTGCAAAACTTAAGGAGAATCTCTAAACGTACCCAGATGCCGCCAACAGCCACGTTGAGGATGAAGTACAGCGGGTCATGACACAGCGTGGCCCAAACGCTCGAGTCGCCAATCTGGGAACCAGTGAGCTGGTGGAACAACTGGCCGTCCATGTACCAGGTAATGGTCTCGGACTGCCAGGTAGACGGGGTGCGGTCCCAGATCATGCGCCACGTATGCCACGACTGATCAGGGATGGTGATGCTTCCCCCAAGGCCATTGGACTCGTGACAGATACCGCCCGGATAGACGTCGCAGTGGGCGGTGCCGTAACCCGTCAACTGGCCATCGATGGTCTCGAGGATGTCAAGTTCACCGCACTCGGGCCATGGGGTTCCCGAGCGGATCGAGTTGCCCAGGGTCCAGAAAGCCGGCCAGATCCCCTGTTTGGCAGAGGTGGGGTTGCTGCCGAACCGGATATCGGCCTCGGCGAGCGTGCGCTTCCCTGCGCTAGGTGTGAAGACGTACTTGCTCTCGAGCCGGCCGGATGTCCACCCCCCGGACACGGAACTGTCTTTCCAAGGCACTATCTGCAGAGTGTTGCCGCCGCTGAGCTGAACGTTCGCGTTCGAACTGGTGTACGTCTCCAGCTCGCCATTCAGCCCCAGGTACCCTGTGATTATGTTCCAATTGTTAGAGTTGGGAGATGTCCCCGCCGAGCCGCCGAAGCTATCGCTCCACTGCAGCGTGTACCCTGAGTACGATGGGGGTGCCCAGGCCGAGACCAACGAGGCCAGGGCGGGGAGGAAACAAGCATATCGGCAGTACATTTGTAAGGAAGGGGATGGTACAAGGCAGAAGCAGGTGTGTATGTACAATATGGGAAGGTGGGAATATTCAGGATACTATGTGCATGAGGAGAGTATGTCGGCCAAACGAGACTGACAACAGCAGAGGTTGTTTATATACCTCAAATGCCTGGCGAGGGACTTCAAATACAGGTGTCCAGGGTGACTGTGGCAGATGATGTTATCATGGGCTTCACATATATTACGACTGGAACACGACGATGCTACCCACCAGGTAGGCAGAGTAACGTTAATCAACACCGGCCTTCTATCCCTGTATCCCATCGTGCTGTCGCCTTGGGCCAGCTGTTGACTCCTGAGGCGGCCATTGCATGAGTAGATACTGATGCCACCCTACCATCATACCCCCATGTATTTCAAGACGAAGCCAAGTCAATAACCAAGAGACAGACGATATAGGGTACCTTTTCTCTTACACCTCGAGACTCATGGCGGCATATCCAAGACGGTTGGGTGGAAAACTCCATGTCCACGAGCAGTGGCGCGTGGCCCTGGCATAATGGCAGAAGTAATACTAGAATCCCTACTACTAGAACATTTAAGAATTCCCCGTAAAATCTTAGCGAATCGTAGCCACTCCGCGCCTCACTAAATTGAGGGCGTCGGCATGAGGACGTCGGCATTATTGCAGGAGTGAGGAAGGCTGAAGCTAATGATTCTTATTGCAGCCTAGAGAGAAAGTCAGAGAGAAGAAACACGAACACCGACTGGTCGCTGCGCGCGACAGAGCTGATCAGGGGCTCAGATGCTAAAACACCTGAATGTTCTCCTCGACAAATGGCCTTGGAAGCGTAGGTGCGAAGTACCGAACCGTGTGACCCTAAGATATAGGTAGATAGCCTGCTGATATTAGGGCCAGTGGTCACCCGGTCATTGGCCTTGGACAAACTGGGACGGCATCTTCTCGATTATCTCTCTATACTACTCTATTGGGTAGATAACTTAGTGGAAACTTTAACGTGCTACCTAGCATGGGACGGGTTTGGCTAAGTTGTAAGCCAACCACAACCCAGCCCACATGGGTTTCAACTTAATCACAACCTATAACTAAGGTAGTTAATATGACTCGGTTACACCATTTCTGTCTGCCCTTCGAGGAGTCAGCTAGTATCCAGTCATGTCAAAGTCGTTAAGGTTATGCGTGAGTGGCCAATCAGAACGCATTACCATCACTGGTCTATACTCTATAATGTACTCGTGTGCGTTACTAGCAGAGCCACAACTACTAGAAAGCCCACTGGGCAGGAGGCAAGTTGCATATATCACTAGTCACAGACTTATGGCGGTATCCAGAGCATGGGAGGACGGTGGACTGCTACGTGAAGTAATATAAAAAAGGGGTGGTCAACATAGCAAGGTAGTATCGTCATAAGACAATCTAAGTAGAAATAAAGTTCGATCCTAATTTCTTAGAGGATGACCACATCGCTAATCAAATAATATTAATATGTCTTTCTCGTCCTTTTATATAATAGCTTAATGAACAAGCTTTTCTTTCCCGAGACAAATATTGCCACCTCCTTCCCTATGGTGAGGCTATACCCAGACTGCCAAACCAAAGGCTATTATGTTGCATACAGGTTTTCCTGGCGGATTTTCTGTAGATTCATGTATAGTGCATAGGCAGTCAGTCAGAAGTTATGCACCGTCCCTACACCTTTAAGGGGTGGATGATTAGCTGTGACATCCCATGTAAGAGGCAGTTACAGGATGTAGTATTCAATATATTAAAAAACGGAGTAAAGGGGGTGACTATAAGAGTATGATAATTATCCAGCAATGAGCAAGTAGTTTTCTGCAGGAAGGAAAATAAAAAGAGGGTAGTGACTTGGCTGCATAATGCCCTCGTGTCCAAATATGCAAGTTTCCCGCATAGATTAATCAATGAGGGGTTAATTCATCAATTTAGAGCCTTTCCCCTTTTAGCCGTTCTGGCCGCCTCTGCAAGCATCGACGTTACCTCAGATCGGCTTCTATTACTCTCTATGTTTATTATCCCGAAGTCAGGAGATCACCAACTGCCGGGCTATGTTCCCGATGAGACTCATTTCGGAGTAGGCCTACCTTAGCATAACAATTCTCCCAGGACAGTACTCGAGGCACCTAAGCGCTCAAACCCGACTCCAAATGCTGCGTGGCACCCTTGCAGTGTATACTCAAAGCACGTACTCTTTTCACTCTCAAACAGAGAAGGAGATCCGCGTTGTGGATCTTGCGACTGGTCGATCGTATGTGTCACTGAGAATCCCAACGCCAGATCACCTCAATGGGTATCAAGAAGTAATCAGCTGATATGGCTTGAATGGCTGGAAAACGGAAACACAGACTTGGTGGTCGGCGACGCACAGTGCACGACCACTGAGCTCTATAAGCCGGCACAGTCCCCGGCCAAGCCTTTGACCTCAAGGTGACTGGGCAACTGCCGTTTCGAGAGGACGACGAGAATGATCTCGCGTTTGTGATCAGTGGCAGGGCGAATCCAGATGGTTCTCTAGTGAATCTGAAACAAATTGCGGAACTCACTGGCCATAGCAGTGGCCACAACACTGGCCATTTCTACACCACCTTTCCTGTGAGAGATGATTGCTCGTATGTAAGCGGATTAAAGAACTCCATCTGGAATGGATCTCTGCGAAGAGGATCTAGGCCAGGGAGTTGGTATAGTATCTCAGGCATTTCTAATCTCATGTTATTCGCGGGACTAGAGGGATTAGAGTCGCCATCTCACCTTTGGGAGGGGAAGAGAGCTCGCGTGAATTTGAAATTCACCCCTTGGTCATGGTATTTGTTGCCAGGGATCGAGAAGTCAACAGTGCTACTCATACAGCATGCTCATGCTATGTGCAACCCGTGGAACGCTGGGGTCAGCAAAACAGAGACCCTTTCTATCAAGCATGGCGGTATAAGGGATTAGGAGGGCAATATCATCATTGGCAGTGGACAAGTCACAAGAAGATCGACCCATTGTCTTCCTATCCCAGACGAGAGATGGATATACGGCCGACAAGAATCGCATCATATACATACCTGTTCCATATACGAAAAGACATGCGAGATATTCGCATCTGCTGATGGCAATGGGCTATGGGATCTTAGCCCATGCGCCATCTCGTTTGGGAGCAACGGCACGCTTCTTATCCAGGCTGAGCTGAATGGGCGGATCATGCTGTATCATCTTGAACTGGGCCGTCACTATGATCAATTACGTCCTGAGGCATTGAGATTGGTTGATCCATGGTGTTTTGGATCCATTGTGCATGCGACACCCGTGCGATTGGATTCATCAAGAATCCTCATCACTCACAGCAGTCTAGTCGAGACCCTACCTGGAATATCTTTGACCTGGCCGCTCCAACTGAATCTCCAAAAATGTTGTCTGCGAGTCGCGCAACGGATGAAGCTCTCTAAGAGACAGGTCAATGTGATTTGGTCATACAGTCGCCATATCCAATGACTGCACCCTTGCCTGTCCCTCAAGCAAGTCGGGTAGTGGCAGTAGCTGTGGGTACAAGCAAAGGAGCAGAGGCCGTGTCCTCGCCGACCCGGAGAAGCCAGATCTGTTATATCCTCTTTGACCAGCAGCTCCATCGAAGAAGTTAAGATAATTATATGTCCACTGGAGATGCCATAATCTATACAACTGTTTTCAGGTGATGGAGTATCTGTGATAGTGGAACCTAATTCTTATTGTTGTATTTCAGAGGAAGATTGATTGTTATTATTCTTATCTAAAATGTTGAGGGTTTATATACAAGATGAACATCAGATTGATTTTCCAAACAATCTCTTCTATACATAATAAATTCCGTACACAAAGCTCTGTTATCTACTTAATCAAGCCTCAATTTATAACATCTTGAAGCAAAGGCATTATCCATTATTATGTAAGAGCTAATAAACACCCAGACAGCGTAGTATCATCTGCCATGGGTCCTACGTATTATGTTAACAATCATATGATGCTGAGCTGTTTATTCTCCCTTAACTAGTATTCCCACTCAGCCCAGTTTGAATTAGTAATTATGGTAACTCATATACTAGCAAGGGAACTCCTTTGCATTCACGTTATGGTATGAGAAAAACTGACGATCCAGGAAACCTATACCAAGGCACCATCAGATACTGCTGCAGATCGATGATTTAGAAATTAGAGATCTCCCATCGGTAAAGTTCGCTTAAGATGCTTCCCGACAAGCGAAACCCACTCATGAGTCAGGAGTCCCGACTCAGGATGTTCACTCAAAATGGTAAACATAGGCTGTAACTAAAACAGTAGAACGGTAGAACCTTAATTTTTCTTGATACGACACAGGTAGAAGCATAGACAGCCAATCTGAACATCTGGGTTTGTTGCACAGGGAATGGGACAGTGCTCAGGGAACAGCTTTTGGGAGGCTTAGAAGTTAGAAGCTTAGAGGCTACTTAATATATTGATATTAAGATTTGAGACATCCTGACTTTTATTCCGAAAATGGAATAAAGATCAAGGGACCTAGCATTGAGGCGCAGAGGCCCTGACGTGATTGGGTGAGGCTGGATCATCAAATGGACCCGTCAGATCCGGCTGGATCAGGAAGCTTTCGGGGTGGCTTTGAACGTTAACCTTGGCCAATCACAGCCGAGTCTGTTGTTCGGGACGCAAGGTAGATCAGTAAAATTGCAACAAACAGATCCACCATCTTCATGACTGGTCAGGTCTTAGGTGCCGGCATATGCTTGCACCAATAGGTTGATCCCCAGGTATGGCGCAGGCCACTGAGCGGTTGCGGCGTTGCTTTTCCAGCATTTTTCCCTGGTGCTATGGAGTTTACAAGTACCTATTACGCAGTAGACAGGCAAAGGTGGTTACTAAATGGTCTTGACCACGATGAAAATGCTGACTTGTAGTTGGCCCTGCATGACAAGGATGATTATAGCGATGGCACCTCGCGTAAGCGCCAGTTGACCTGTCTTATTCCGAATCTACTTTCAGTTTGAACCGTGGACGTCCCCTGTCCGCTGCATTGTCTTCTCCCTTGATCCTCCTGGATATGAAGCAGATATTGCCGCTGAAAACAGATCCAATGTCAAAACGACGGCTGTCCAGATGGCCGGCCCGCCGCACAACAGTCACAACCTGCACAGCGCTGATCTGTCTTTGGCTCTTCACCTTAATATTGTATCGTCGGGGAGATTTTGCGCTGGAGCCTGACGGTGAGTTTGCAGTTGCACCCCTTTGTAAATAGGCAGCCACACTGACTGGCTAGAATTCGACCAACACTCCGTGACACAGCAACTCGCCGACATCACCAAGACATACTCATCCAACAGCACTATCGCGCTGGTACTAGCCGCGACACAATCGGAAGATCTCACCTGGCTGCTGAATTACTGCCGTGACCAGTACGTCGTACTCGTCCTTAAACCCAACCATATACTAATACCCGAGAACAAAACAGCGACGCCATCCCCTTCATCTACACCACCGACCCCAAACCCGCTCCGTACCTGCTCGTCCCCCACACCACCCGCGGCCGCGAAGCAGCCGCCTACCTCTCCTACGTCGTCGACTTCTACGACCGACTCCCCCCCTACAGCATCTTCATCCACTCCAAGCAAGACCAATGGCACAACGACCTCTTCGGCCCCAAAACCAGCGTCGCGCTGCGCAATCTCCGCATCGAGGCCGTGTCCGCACAGGGCTACGTCAACCTCCGCTGCGAACACGACCCGGGCTGTCCGACGAACGTGCACCCGTGGTCCCCGACGCAGATCGATATCGATAAGAAGGATATCCGCGCGTACTTTCCCCAGGTGTACCAGACGCTGTTTGGCGTCGGCACGGAGCGCGTCCCCGAGCATATCGGGAATGTCTGCTGCGGGCAGTTTGCCGTCACCAGGGAGCGGATCCGGCAGCGTCCGAAGCGGGACTATGAGCGCATGCTGGCGTGGGCAGCGGAGACGGACCTGACGGATAGCTTTGGGGTGGGGTGGGTGTTTGAGAAGGTCTGGCATGTGGTTTTTGGCATGGAGGATATCTATTGTCCGCGCTTTGAGCAGTGTCGGTGTGATGTGTATGGGTGGTGTGGGCCGTTGGCCAATGGGGAGACACTGCAGGCAGTGAGGGCGCAGACCTAGCTGGGGTTTATGTATATAGCTGGATATGACCGTATAGATGGTTTGGATATTTCATACTTAAACAGCATATACTGCGTTCATCTTGCTAATGTTGATGTTGGAAGAATGGCTGGCATCTACTTCATTAAAGGATTGCGCCTGGCAAGACAATTTGTACCGTTGTTCATTGTCTACTTGGCATACAACTATGGACATGCCATAATCATTATTCGCGGTTGATAGGCTACTGATGATTGCTCATTCCACCTCCAACCAGCTCATAGGCAGGAGTTTGCGGCCTTGTTCGACCGGTCCCCACCTCGTATACATTCCCGCTGTCCAGAATCGGTACTTCCAGGCTGTGGCGCCGGGGGCGGGATATGATGTAAGAATAACGTGGGATCGGACGTGACTCTTCGGTGGGAACGGAGCCCGAGGATACTGATGGATCGGAGCCAGGAAGTAATGATACAGGAACAGACATTCTCTCGGATCCGGGGAGGAAAGATGCTGGAACAGAGGATCTCGCGTCTGCGGCTGGTGGTGGGGACAGTGGTTTTCGGGGGAACTTGACCCCTTGAGTGGATTAATTACAACAGTACTCCTCTCCACGGCCTCTTGGGGCGGCGTGGGCTTTGGAGTCGGCTTTTCTGTCTTGCTAGGGAGGCCGGTGAGACCTGGTATTGGCGGTGTGGCAACCTCTAATATTAGCTTTTCTGTTCGTCGATTCTGCTGGCGCTTTCGACGGCGGATGAACAGCCAAAGGACGATCACCACTGCCACGGCGATTCCGGCCTTTTAACCCGTGCTGAGTCCATCGCTGCTGGATGACTTGTTGCTTTTACCGGTCGTGCATGAGTACGTGTTTTGGAATACATTGTCCTCTCCAGACCGTTGACCATCCAAACTTGAGCAGTTGAAGGTGCCTGAGCTATGGATCGTAAAAGGTCCGCTGACTGTGCCAAGGTTCGAGAAGGAGATCCTACGCCTCGTCAGGTCTGTGCGAAGTGCAGGGAGAAAATGCCTGAACGGACCGATTGAAATCACCAGAGACGGTCAGCCCCCCTCTGACCTCATCCAGGTCACTCAACGACAGGTCTTTCAGATTTCGATTGTTCTCCACTTTGATGTCTCCTCCAACGGTCGGTAAGTTGGACATTGCGATTTGATTGAGCGCATCATTGTTGGCCACAGTCAATGTTCCAGTGACGGTCCTCAGGTCCGACGCTACCAAGGAACTGAGGTTCGAAGCTCCATGAACTGTAAGAGGGCCCTGGATTGCCTCGACTCCATGGAGGTTGATAGTCCCGCTCGCAGACTTCGTCATGGTCACACTACCGCGGACGGTTTGACAGGAGGCGATGGAGTCTGCATCTGCTTGCGATGTAATGCTCACATTGGTGTTGCCTGATTGTTCAGCCGTCGATCAAGTACGGACAGACATTTCAACTTACATCTTGGGTTTAAATCGGAATCTTCGTCGTTATCGGCTGCAACGCGCCGCAGCGCTAGGAGCAGACAGAAGAAAAGCGGTCTCATCTGGTATGCCTCAGAGATGGGATATCAGATCTTGACAATTGAACAGCATCATGAACAAAAATTATCTATCATTGAACGGGAAAGCTCGCATAGATAACCGTCCAGATGAATAACCAACCAATGCAGGCCCTAAGACCGGCTGTGGCTGAGCCATGCTCTTTAGGATTGGCACTACGGACATCCTGACTTTTTGAACAGATCTCATAGGCCTGCGGACTGATGGAATCCAGTCTGGTGCGAGTCAGGCGTAGATCAGCGGCTGTTACTTAAAGACACACTACGGGGTAGTTCCTCTCAGGGTCCGCTCGTCCCAGTTCCAACTTGCCACCGTGTAGGCGATGCGGGGTCATATTCGCTGAGCATTACGCTGACGCCTAATCCTTGAGTTCACTTCCATCAAGCAACCTTCGATCAAGAAAATCTGCAATGCTCTTGTGTTCCACTCTCGCCAGGTACTTGTGTGACTTCAAACGAATCTCTCCCGGCCTATCGGAGTATCTGGTCAAGATACTGCACGGTCCATTGCGATCTGATAGATATATCAATCACGTTATCTCGTCGAGAAACGTTGCTGCAGCATAATTAGTTTTATGCTGAATTGCACTGCTTACAAATCAACATAACACATTGCTTCTTCCCCTCCAGTCAACAGACCCGTCTTTGCTCAACCACCTTTCTATCAGCATCATGGACTACTCCCGCATTATCCTCGCTCTCGCCGTCTACATCGGTGAGCACTCCCACGATCTTGCCCCTCGCAACCCTTCTCACTAATCCGATAGCAATCCGCCTTATCTACAACCGCTTCTTCTCCAGCCCCGCCGCAACCATGCAGCATGGCAAAGTAATTGCTGTTGATAAGTAAATAGTCTCCATAACCCCAATCAAGAAGCAAACTCACTAGGAATACAAAAGTCCGGTCATCTACAAGGCCCTTACCTCTTCCGGCCCCGTTGTCGTCGATTTCTTCGCCACCTGGTGTGGTCCTTGCGTGGCCATTGGGCCTAGTGTAGCGAAGCTTAGCGAGACGTACCCCAATGTGCGATTCATCCAGGTCGATGTCGACAAGGTGCGCTCTGTGGCGCAGGAGATGAATATCCGGGCGATGCCGACGTTTGTGCTATATAAGGATGGGCAGCCTCTGGAGAAGAGGGTTGTTGGTGGGAATGTGAGGGAGTTGGAAGAGATGATTAAGAGTATTTCGGCTTAGTTGGGGTGCTCTTGCTCACAACATGGCATACAGATGCATAATGCTTCTATCGAGTGATAAGCACGGTGCAATGCAAGCGATACCATTCTCTAGGAATGAGTGACGGCAGGGTGCCTTTATATCGTCGTTCAATTCCTGGATGTTGATTCAACGAATCCCGCTTGAATCGGGCATAAACAATACATGGCATTGAAAGATGACGATCCACCAAAATGCAGACGGATGTAGTTTGCAGACTGCATTAGCTAGACATGGCTTTCTCCCCACGCGTCCAGTCCCCGCAGCTCACTCCACTGTTTCTCCAGCTCGCGTATCATCCATCGCGTCCGCCAGCCTACTGTCTTTTCCACATAGGTCAAGAAGCGCAATGACCCGCGTTGTTCGAGGGGATGTCGCAGGCAGTACCCATCTATCATGGTCAGGATGATCGAGAAAGCTCAAATAATAAACTTACAGCGGTGTAATAAATGGCATGCCATAAAGTACGCATTCTCGACCGTCTCGTTTGACATGGACAAGCCGATGACCATGTTAAGATGTGATGCGATTGTATTCTAGCCCGTCAGTAGCGGTCTTTCCCAAGAGTTGTACAATCTTACCTCTACTGTACGTTGCGAACGAGCCAGCTCGTAGTCACTCGCAGCTTGCCAGTGTAGGTTACACAGAGTGAGAAATATACAGGAGGTGTGATAATACTGCATTCCGACCACTACGACTGTCAGCCCATTTCGGTTCACCGGGTAGGATACATACCGGCTGGCGGAGACATCATCCAGATCTCAGGGAACGGTCGATTCTCCGCAATGTTCGCCGGCTTGTACTTCAACGGTTGCCAACTGATTGGCTTTGCTCGATGCCATTGCTCAACGCTATCAGAGAGTTGGCGCCACGTCGCCTCATCCATGCCACGGGTATGCGGTCCTCCACACTGCAGAATCCGAGCACAGAGGTAGATGATGACATTGGCATAAGCGGCATCGTCGCGCCTGTGAAAGACAGCCGACCGTTCATAGTTCTCCAAGTCCAGCTGCATGGGTTGATACTGGACGACAGATGCATATATCGCCTGTCGCAGGAACTGCCAGCTCACGGCTTCGGCTAGGCCGCCGGATGACGCTGATCTGGACATGGTGTTGAGGAGACGGTTTGAGCCGAACAAATGGTACTTCTCGTCGTTGTTGCTTTCCAGTTCCTCGTAGATACGGAGAATCACGACCGTGATAAGGAGGTTGTCGTCATACGTATCCTCCGGCTGCGCCAGCGCAGCGATCAAGAGCTCCAGACATTGACCGTGATATTCGGCGGCTTCCCAGTCGCTAGCGTCTGACAATATGGCGTCGTGTCTGGCTGCGAGAGCTAGAACCGCCTTGAGGACCATAGGCACTTCCAGTGCCCGGCGTGGTACCTCGGTTGAAAAATGAGACCGCGAGTCGCATATGTCGGTCTGTCAAAGTCAGAATGTACTGTCAATGTACTATCTATGAGCAGGGTTTCCATACCCAAGGCGCTATCTTGGAGATGAATGAACGTAACAAGTATGCCTCCCGGGAGGACAACTTCGGCGAAGTGATCGCCCGCGGGCTTATCGGACTCCATTGGGATGTCGCATCTGTCCGCGCTGTTGATGGCAAAGGAGATACTATGTTATTTAATGCACTTGGCGAGATGGCAGTAGATGAGGGAAGTATCAGTTGGGTTTCATCCGGTATCGATGGGGTCGGTGCTGGGAGGTCTAGCGGGTGGTTTTCAATCACTGAATCGTAAGGCTTTGTTGGTCTTGGGATGAGGAGAGATGATATGTCCGGAAATACGGCTCTAGGTGTTGCTGGATTCTGGTCCGAAGGCGGTGCTTCATCGTGAGAGTCTTGCGGCGCATCTGTCTCTTCCCATTCTGCAGAATCATCTGCCGATTCGAGTACGAATGTCACTGATACCGTTAGCACCTTGGATCATAGGATAATGAAGGTGAAAAGGAAATACATGATGCAGGAGTTTTGACCCAAGTCTGATGTGGATCCCACACAAGATCGAATTTAGACGCTGTGCCATGGCTCTTCTGATAGACGTGATGGACAGTTCTAAACCGAAACGGAGGATCCAGCCGACACACCCGTCCCAAGCGCGAGCAGGGATTACAGGACGAAGCTCCTTTCCGAATTGTGCACCGAATATGACGATGGCGACAGCGCTCGCAGCCCCTTCCGATCCTCATGGCCGATTGCGGGGTGAATGAGTTGAGCGCTGAGCTCTGCGGGGACAAAGCCAGGGGCGGACGGCAACATGGACAAGGCCTAGCTGTCAGTCTGCAGGTCAAATATGAAGATTTGCCGTCTGATAACGCTTCCGACTGCATCGGCGAAAAGAATAGACCGAGCCAGTTGCTAGAATCACGGGCTCTTTTTGGAGTCGCAGCCTTCCCCGCATCTTGAGGAGAATACCCTGCCAATGATTGGTTCGCCCGCATTTCCCCAGAAATCCACTATCCAGTTGTCTCGACCGTCGCATCGATGGATTGCACGTTCTGCTATGGGATTATCATAATACAGAAGTGTTAAACGATTTCATCTTGGGAGTTGTCAGATATCGTCATTATAATCCTATAATTACTTGGCTCATGAAGAGTGAGGCGGCCTGACCATACCGATATATATACTACTACCACATCAAATGTTCAGGATTGTTCCACTAACTAGAAAATTTACAATTATTCGAAGATAGAGCAGTTCACAGCTATAACCATAACGGGCTCAAATACGTTCTCAGGTTTACTTTGAGTGCCATTCCAGACAGAGTAGTCGATCTCGGATAGAGATTTGTTGATGCACGTCATAATCATTCATTCAATCCCGAGCTGTACTACCCTATGTAAGAATCTATAAATATGTTCATCAAATGACAGCGTAGAAGACTGTTGGTATCGTCGTTTCAAGAAGGTCAAGTGCCACATGCGCATGCCGATTATTTACACACTGATAGTCTTGAAGACACTGTTGCAAGGAGTCAGCATTAGATCATGCAACAAAGAACGATTTCAACTAAGGACTTACCCGAATCCAGAGCTGCCTGTGGCCATGATGGTACCAGGCATCTGAGCCTGCCAATGAACCTCCTTGACAGACTCCATGTAATGAACGAACAACAGCTGGGGAGGCACTTCGGCCAGGCCAGCCTCGCGGCTCTCTTCTTCATCAAGCTCCACAGCCAGATCCCAGAGGGTGACGGTATTATCGGCAGAACCGACAGCAACAACACTGTCGTCTGTGGGGTGCCACTCGATACTGGTGACGGGCTCACGATGGAAGTCGAAAGCTGCGACTGGCGATGCTTTGATCTGTGACGAGGGGGCGGACGCATCTGGCTTCCAGTGTCTCAAATCCCAGACAGCCCATTGTCCATCATCGGCACCCGTGGCAAGGAGATGGAACGTCTGTTTCGACCAGCTCATGACATTGACGTCTGTCTTGGAGACCTTGACGTCAACTGCGGGCTTGCGTGACTTTGACCGGACGTCCCAGACTTTGACGCTTCCGTCGCTGCTGGCGGAAGCAAACACATTGCGCTCATTTGGTGACCATTGTAGCTCTTCGACAGAAGATATGTGGCCGGTGAATGGCCGGGTGTCTGTGACCCAACCTCCTCCTTCTGTGCGGGTGGTAACGTAGATCAATCCGTCATTGTCACCGGTCAACAGCTTTCCAAGGGGCTGGAGTGGGGACCAGTCCAGAGCATAACCCTCGGACTTGTGCATGCGCAGGGTCGAGAGCGGCTTGGAGGCTGAAGGAGGCAATACTGTGCCAGGGACGTCGAAGCTGGTCAGATAAGGAGTCACATCGTGGATGACGACATGGGAGTTTTCGAGCATGGTCGCTGTGATTGTCTGTGGCGGCCTGGAGTAGTCGGCGGACTGGGAAGGGGTTTGGTGCGCGCGGATTCTGTTGGTTGTTGATCCGAGAGGGATACTCTTCGACTCGAGAATCGGGTCATCAGAATCATCATCTGAATCCAAATCACTCTCCGAATCTGTCTCGTTCTCTTTCTCCATCTTGCTGAGACCGCTCATCTTGATCACCAGCAGTTCGTTCTCCTTTGCTCTTCCTCCCGCCGCTTGTGTACCCGAAACGGCGTAGACGGTCGCAGGGTATGTCTTTCGGTTGTCGCCAAGGGAATCGCGCACAATGTCAAATGAGAGACAAGGCCATGGTGTGCTGAGCGTGTGTAACATGTCGTATGTAGACGGATCCGGAGACAGTACCTCTCCAGGAGCTAGTTTTGTTCTTCCAGGGATGAATGTCTGTTTGTCAACCTCCATAGCGTCTGTTGTCATCGCATTTCAGTCAGTAGCAATTCTAGCGACAAAAAACCGGCTGACAAACCTTTTTCCTCTTCCTCGCGCTCCGCATCAGGTCTTCCATCGACCCCTGCTTCCAAAATCTCGTCCTCACTCTCGAATTCGTCCTCGAACTCATCTTCAAACTCCCCCACCTCATCCGGAATGTCATTGGCGACCGGCCGCTCTCCGGCCTTGAGGGCAGCGGAGTGCTCCTCAGACGTGTCGGCAGCTCTTTTGAACATTTTGTCGTGGTTATGATGTGAATATCCCGGTAGATATGTGCACGAGCCAGTCGTGCGACAGGATGAAAAAGACGCCTGTTGCTTGATCGGAATCAGTGATTAGGGTTCAGGAACTTTTTTTTCTCGTCCAGAGATTGAGGTGGGATGCGCGCTAAGCCTATCGCGGGTTAGCGTAGATCGGGCCGCTTCGTCTGGATGCGGCTGTGTTGACTACTTGACTTGATGCCGATGGCCACAAGGGTCTCGCAGAACCTCGTGCCTTTCGACCAAGTCCTGCTGTTCTTGTCGCCTGCTAACTTGTGATTCGAGCGCTGCTCATCATTTCTCAGTCGTTTATTCCCTTGCTTACCGGTCTGCTGGTTCAGCTACCGCCCACGTCATTTGTTCCAGCAAAGGCATAACAAAAACAAACAGAAGCTCCACCGAGTGATCTTCCTCCTCCTTCGTTCAAGTCATTCTTATCAAACCTGAAATTCAAGTCGCCAAAGTATTCGATCTTTAATTGCCGAACCGCATCTCATGCGGCTTTGAGAAAGCCTGCCTTCTACCGGCATTTCCGCAACTAGGTCAGTTTCAGCTTCCCTCGTGCTCCCCGCTCTGACAGGCGATCGGAGAATTAACGGAAGACGTATCATTTCAGGTCGTCGAGTCATCCCTAACCAGCTTACAATTTGCGACATGGATGTACCGCAGCCTGTACCTGATGTCCCGGATGTCGCAGAAACCGGTCACCAGCAGAACCTTGAGTTGTCTGGCCCCGGATTGGCGGCTACGGAGGAGGGAATGGGGCCTCCGGAGTTTCACAATGGATACAACAGCGACTCCCGCGCTCATTACACCTCACACACTGGCGGTTTCGATTCCCCATCCGCACATGAACCTCGAAACCAAGAGAATGATCAATCTCAATTCACCGCGTCTCCGACATTAACCCAACAACCACGACCGCCGTCATCATCGAGGCCGGGTTCCGGATTGTCTAGCGGCCCTGAACAGCGACAAGGAATCTCGCAAACCTCTCAAGATGTCGGTCAGAAACAACCATCCCAGCCGTCGAAGAATAGTGTGGTGATCAAGGTTGGAATGGTCGGGGATGCTCAAATTGGCAAGACAAGTTTGATGGTCAAGTACGTGGAGGGCAGCTGGGACGAAGATTATATCCAGACCTTGGGTATGTTACTCTTCTGGACTCGTGCTGGACATATTCTGACGTTATCGACAGGGGTAAATTTCATGGAAAAGACAATCTCCATCAGAAATACGGAGATCACTTTCTCGATCTGGGATCTGGGCGGTCAACGCGAATTCGTCAATATGCTTCCGCTTGTGTGCAATGACGCCGTCGCTATTCTGTTCATGTTCGATCTCACTCGCAAGAGCACCTTGAATTCAATCAAGGAATGGTACCGTCAGGGCCGTGGATTCAACAAGACAGCTATTCCTTTCCTGGTTGGCACCAAGTATGACCACTTCGTCAACTTTCCTCGAGAAGACCAAGAAGAAATTTCCATTCAGGTAGGCACGGCTGGCCAAGAATGATCTGACCGGGATGTGCTGATGACTTCTCAGGCCAAGAGATTCGCCAAGGCGATGAAAGCGAGCTTAATCTTCAGCAGTACCAGTCACAGCATCAACGTGCAAAAGGTATGATCGCGTGGACATGAGCTCGAACCGCACTAACCGACAGTGTAGATCTTTAAGATTGTCCTTGCCAAAGCCTTTGACTTGAGATGCACCATTCCCGAGATCGAAAACGTTGGCGAGCCTCTATTACTCTATAAGAATGTTTGAAACATAACGACGGCAACACAGAAGTGGTACGATTGTCATGTATATTGGGATGAAGTGACGTTGACGATGTCCTGAAATACCTTTGCTCGTCATTCTTGGGTTGTAGAATGGGTGACCCAGAGGGATCCGTTGAGTCTGGAAGTGTCAAACCGAATCTGCCAGTCGGTTTTCCTACTTTCTCTGCACATTCTGCCCTTTCTCCTTTGTTCTTTCTTGTTTCCTCTCTCTTGTCCACAGCATTGGGTTGCGTATTGTCTCATGGGTTTCAATCCTTGCCTACATCTCGTGTCTAAACTTCTTTTCTCTTCTTGTGCTTGAATATGGCGCTTGTGTCTTCCTTGACTGTTCCTGAAACGCAGGTCTGTTCTGGGGTACAATCATCGGAGCCGGCTTTTCTCTTTCTTCTCGGTAATCTTTCTAGTCGATGGTTCTTCTGTGTTTAAATAGGTTAATTACATGAATCCTGTCAAGGCTCGGTCGCGTCAAATCCGTCCTTTTTGATAGATACCTCAGGCACCAGTCCTCAAGCCTTGTGGGGCCAGCACCTTGAGGTGGGGGAGAAACACATGTGATTCGCCCATAGGCGCCAGGAACCGATTGCGCTGGTTCTTCCGTCGATGGAGTCAAAGAAAATAATACTTGGTCGCCTCGAGGAAACAACTGCCTGTACCTCAAGGTCTAGGTAGTCAGCCTTGCGAGTCTTAGAAAACAGGCACAGCCTTGTTTCAAGCGCGCGGGGCCGCAACTATGGGTGGCCTATAAATTAGTGGCCTTACTTCCGCTTCTTCAACACATTATTCATTCTTTTTCTTCCCGTTTCCCTAGGCGTCTTTTGGATGTCGTCTTTGGATGCGTTCTTGAGGGCGCGTTAGCTTATTAGCATTCGTTGTCTTATTCTCGCTCTTGGATACATGCATTTTAATCGCATCTTATAAAAACTGATGGCATGGCGGAAGAAACTCCGGTCCTGACGATTCAGGAGAGGATCAAGGCGCTCAAACAAGCTCAAGAATCACGGCCACCTTCGTTTCGAGCCCAAACAATCAACAACCCTCCGGTCAACGGTCACGGTTCTGTCATTGAGCGCTCGGTGATCGGCAATGAGCCAGCAGCACCCCCTACACTGGTCCCGCGACCGTCGATCACCCAGAAACCCAAGGCGCCCCCGCCGCTGCCAACACGGAAAGCTTCCAATCAGCAACTTGCGCCTGCGCTGCCACCTCGCAGACCTTCGGTGAATTCTATTGAATCAGCTGCGTCCGATACGTCCCGATCAACCGTGTCGACAAGTGTGGGGAGACCTGTACCAGGGCGATCATCTTCCTCGAGTGAATCTGGGAACGTTCGTACGGTGCGCGCACCTCGATATGATGAGGCAGAGTTGCCTGTCCTTCCTCCGAGAAGAGAGGAAGTGAAAAATCCCGAAGCGCCTTCACGGCCGAAACCGACAACGACACAGAGCCGAGGTAGTCTACCGCCTCCATTGCCATCGATAAGAGAACCGCCGTCGCGTCCCTCTGCTCGACCTGCCTTGCCCATCCGGCGAGCATCAAGCAACATCAATCTGAAGAATGGTGACGCAGCACCTCGGCCGCCCCCGCGGCTCCCGTCCCGAGACAGTCAGGGCCAGTCGCCAAGCTCAGAATGCGAAACGAGGCCGGCGAGAAAGCTGCCTCCGCCTCCCCCTTCGGGCTCAGTTCTTGGCAAGTTGCAACAGTCAGGTTTTGGAGGATTGAACAAGACTGCACCCTCCACAGTCAATGGTGCACTGCCTCCGGTCCCTATTGCGTCAAGACCAGAGAAGCCGGACCTTTCCAAATTACTAGCAACCAAACCGCGTGTTCAGCCAAACACTACGACTACAGAGCCCACGGCGATGTGCTTGAAATGCCGAGACTTTTCCGCCCCCGACTCGCACGCCGCCAGGTTTCCGCGAGAGACTCTTCCAACACATGATCTTGCCTGGCTGGCCCGCGAGCTTACAGCACCATTCCCTTCACCTACAGACAAAGCGAGAGCTTTGTTCACATGGTGTCATCATAATATTTGCTATGATGCCGATGCATTTTTCAATAACTGTGTGAAGCCATCAACACCAGCTAGTACTCTTGCTTCTGGCCTGGCCGTGTGCGAGGGCTACGCCGGGCTCTTTGCAGCCCTCGCAACCCATGCTGGATTGGAAGCAATCGTGATCGGTGGCCACGGCAAGGGCTACGGCTATCAGCCTCTGGGACCCGGGCAGAGTATTCCTCCCTACAGCGCAGGCCATGCATGGAATGCAGTCCGGATCGACAATGGGCAATGGAAGTTGATCGATGTGTGCTGGGGCGCTGGAGTAGTTCAAGGACCAGGACAACCATATAAGAAACTCTTCAACCCAACCTTGTTCACCATGACGAATGAAGAATTCAGCGTAAAGCACTATCCTGGAGCTAATGAACACCACTTTCGAGATGATGGTCGACCAGGGATGAGTTGGGAGGTGTATATCACCATGGACCCGGAGGCCCCATTTGGCGTTGAGCAGCCAAGGACTTTCGACCTAAAAAGCCATTTCATCAACGAACGCAGCTTCTTACCGGCTGCCAAGCAGGTCTCGGTTTACCAGCCGGGACCGCTTCGCTTTCAGTTCGGTCTCGTCTGTGAGCATTTCACGCTGGAGCGTCACGGAAAGGTCAAGCCTAGCTTGTTTCTCCTGTGGACCCACGGTCTTGATGGACGGAAAGACGAACTTATTCCTTTTACCTATGTTCGGGGCAGTGGGCCTGAGTTCTGGTACATCGATCTTGAGGATCCTAGGACAGTGGGTGCACCTGGGCAGAAGCTCCAGATAGTGGCCCTGACTGAGTTTGGCGACCGGAAAGACTGCAGGGGGCTCACTGTGGACGAATATAAGGCGAATGTTGGTCGGGTTCGTATGGCGTTTTCGTTTGTTGCCGAATGGGTTCTGGTCTGACGACGGGAATAAACGTCTCGTCATTCTTTCTACTTAATACCCGGACTTGTCTATATTACCTTTCTTCCTTTATCCTCTGTACATCGATAGTGGATAGTCGATCATGATAATCAAGGTGAATCATGCTGTCGCAGCCGTATCTCTGCTTCTGCAAACTTACTCTAATCTCTCTGAAGAGCTTTTTCTCTCTTTCATTTTGAACCACTATTCTTTAATAAACAGGGTAGTAAGTCGATAGATACTATTTCCCATACAACATACAACATACTCTGATAAAGTCTATCTGTAGGCTGTAGCTCAAACCCTCGCCCCACTTTCCCCGCTTCCCCAGATTGGATCCATAAATCATGCCCCAGGCTGCCCCAGACCACCTAGTCTACAATGTCGCACCCATGCGGAGAACTGAAAGAAGAACGCGCGCTTGTCGAAGCAATCCAGCGACGCGACATTGCAGAAGTAACCCGGCTTTTGGATGATGGAGTCTCCCCTGATGGGCCCAGTTTAGACCGTCCCCCGCTATGGTACGCTGTTCACGCAGATAATCTTCCTGCCACCAGGGCCTTACTTGCTGCGTCGGCGAATGTCCACCTCCGCAATATCTACGGGGAGACTGTGCTATACGACGCAGCGTACCATAGTTCCCTGCCTGTGGTGCAGGCGCTGGTACAAGCTGGCGCAGATATTCATGCCCGGAGCAAGACGGGACGGGTTATCCACCACGCAGCAGAAGCCGGCCGTATAGATACCGTGCAGTGGATTCTGAACAATCACTACTTTACTATCAATATGTCTGGGGCCCACGGCTGGACGCCATTGCTCTACGCTGCGCTGGCTGGTCAGAGTGCGATGGCCTGCTTCCTACTCGAGAACGGGGCTGACCCGACGATCAGATCTAAGCCTGGCGGCCACTCGGCGTTACACTACGCTGCGTGTTCGGAGCGAAATGAAACTGGGGAGTGGAAAGACGACGCCACTCTTGTCCGCGACCTGATCGAGTATGGCGCGGATGTCAATTTGCCTGCTGATGCGCGGCGTCCCTCATTCAGCGGGGAGAAGGGGGAGTTTCAGGATGAATTTGTGAGAATTTCTCTTAGGGACATCTAACCTTTTGCGCTGAATATTTTCTTCGTTATGATGGTCATTAATGAGATGTATCAATTCGATCCAACTGGGTGCTGAAGGCATATCACGGGCCGAGTGACGCTGTTCAACAGATCGGCAATTTTGATTAATTAAAAACCAGGTAGCTTTCGAGCCGAGAGTTGACCAAAAGAAGACCATAATTAGTTAAATGCACAGGCGATGACGCGGTGGCTGCGATACTAAATATACAGATGACAGGGAAGATTTTGGTTGCTGTCGATTCACCCAATATCAAAACTCGTCGATAGAACGAGAACTATAGTCTCAAACGCTTCGTCCTATGTCATTGAGCGATTTCGAGAAGGAAACTGGCTCGAAAACAGACGCCAAATTGGTGGGATTTTCCTTCTGGTGACATTTCCTCCAATAATCCCAATTTGTTGATCCACAAAAGTCAATCTGGACCTTGAATGACTACATTCAAGATATCTATTATGTACTATCTAACAGTTAGCTAACTACCACCATGTTAGCTGCCCATTTACTAGGGCTGGAAACATTCCCCTCTCGTCTTACCTGCCTATCATCTCATTAGCGGCGCCCTAAATCTCTAACGACAGCCACCCGCTGCAAGACATCTCTGATCCACCCGAAGGATGTGGAGTGCGGCGGTTCGGATCAGGGCCTTCCTACAATATAAGGGATCTTCGTCTTGGTTCCCTCTATAGGAAAATGCTTGTGTCTACATACAATGACTACCTACGAGGTGTCTGCTCCACTGTGCAATTGACAAGTTGGGGTTGGCGAGGGCTCCATAATTAATGTCTCTTGGCGACTGGGTTTGTGATGGCTTCACGAATGGGATGCTGGAATAATGGCAGATCTATTGGATGAGAGACTATCACGGCGAGGGCCAAGTGACATATTTGTCTTGGAATAGAGGCCAGTCTGCCAGGAAAAAGTGTTCACGACATGCGATGCGGTATATAGCATGAGCCAGGAATCAACATAAAAGGGCCACCATCCACCTGGAGTTCAATCTCTTCCAGACAAGCAACACCATCTCCATCTGCCTTTCCATCTCATCTCAGTGACCTCGATCAACTCGCACAACAACTGCAACAAGATGTTTACCCCGAAATCCATCCTCGGCCTCTCCCTCATGATGGCCCCTACCCTTGTCGCCAGCTTCGAGGACATCTACTTTGGCTCTTATTCAGGTGAAGGCCTCGCCGGCACCTGGCAAAATCCTGGTCAGATGGGCGTCTGCTACTACCAGGTCATGGTCGGCGATCAATCCAACTGTGATGGCCTCCGCACCAATCCCGCTGATGGCTCCGGCGGCTGCCCGGGTCAGAAATTCAACGGGCCCAATTTCTGCCATATGCCCATCCCTGGACTCCCGGACGGTCACGAACTCGGTAAGTTCCATCCATGAGGGTTGAGTGGAGTGGCTTTGATAAGAAGTGAGACTGATTCGCTGAATAGACCGCAACGGCGGTGACTGCCCCTCTGATGATGAAGCAGCGGATGGCGTATGGTACGCTGATATCATTGACAAGAACAATGGAAATGTCAAGGTTGGACGCTGTGTCTATGAATACAAGAAGGGACCCAACTGCGCAAGCACTGGAAGCTTCCTGACCAACAGATTCATCCACTGCTACCCTGACGCATAAGCAGACTGAAAGGTTGGAAACGGTTTCAGAAAGACGGTGACGGGTGGAATGATATGTAGCGGAGTGATATGGGACTTTTGAGCCGGCTAGCACGTGTATACATGAGTCGTGGACCTGGTGAAGAGGTGATATGCTGTCTGTCCGCAATAGAGCGGGTTCCATAATGTGCCTGTATAAATTGTGATTTAATCCTGTCAATGACTCGAACATGGATGGAGTGCATCTTATGGCCAACAGAGAACTCTGAACTCAAAGAGAGCGAACTCCTACATCCCAATTCTGACTCATTCTCTACAATGTGAGTTGTCCGTAACGTACCATATTGCAATCAGTTTATTTTTGATATAATATCTAGCTCTGAGTAGGTTTTGTAACGGGTCTCGAAGCCCAGGGAGGATAGACACACTCTACTATGGCAAGGGTACAAAGCTCACACAGATCCACACTACGGCTGTGTCCTGAGTCCTGACCGTTGGCGTCCGTCTAGATTGCTAAGAGGAAAACAATAACACCTGCGAAGCATAGCTCGTCCTCTCGAAAGTTCAACCCTGGTGCCAGCTCAAACGGATGATCTGACCTATTTTTACAGGGTGCGTTTCCTCTTCGCTTTCTTCCCTCGGCGATATAGATCAGGGCCTTGGCGCGCTAAACTATATCTGATTAGCGCAAAACAAAAGTCACGTGGTAATCTAATTAGTAACAGCCTCAACTGTATCGGCGACATGATCTCATGACAGAAGCTAGCCAAGCAGTTACTCGCCAAGCAGGATGACAACATAATGGGAGATGTAATGAGTATCAAAGAAGCTTTTGGTGCTGCCTACGAATTCTTGAATCCAGTCCTTCAGCGAGGCACGCAAACCACTCAGCTTTGAGTTCTAAAATTTTGATGCTGACTAACCGCAAGAGGAAATTCAGAAATATCGTGGGAAATCCCTTCTGGAGATCCTGAGCCAGCATTTACCTGCTGGGACCGAAGATGATGGCTCCAAAAGGACAGTCGTTGTTGAAAGAGCGTTGGGCATACTCTTTCGCATCCATGTTGCCTTCGTAACGCCAGTAGATCAAGCCCACGGTTCACCTCAGCCCGATCATGTATCGGAAGACGCTGCACTCGAGGATGCAAAGCGAAGAAGAGCGCTGCATGCGATACTCGATTTGATATCTCTTGAGGGTGTCTACCCCTCTCTCTCTTCAGGAGTAGGAATACCCCTCCAGCAGAGAGTCATTTCTGTGTTGCCTGCTGGTGTGATTGCTCAGCAACAAGACAAAATTGCGCATGATAAGCCTCATCATGAGTTCCTACTTGAGCGCATCATGGATATCCTATCAGATATACTTTTCGATGGGAGACCTAGCATACAGCCCGTTATTCGCGGTCGTATTCTGAGCGATTTAATCAGTGCTGCGGCAGACTTGGCCTATAATCCGAGCATCCCACATTTAAATACGAAGGGAAAATATGGCGAGATACTTCCTAGACTGATTGATGAGTATGTCTAAGCCTTCGCTAGTACTTCGCCCACTAACGAAGACAGAACACCCAGCTCCGTTCTATTATCAACACTGTCAAGCTTTCTTCAGTCAAATCCTGCTCCCTGGTTCAAAAGTCTAGTGTCTAGTCAACTTTCGCGGGTTCCTCTGCGTGAGGACGGAGTGTTGCAGACAATCGTCTTTCTAGCATCCCAGTTTGCTCCTTCGTTAGGCCACGAGTCTCAGACCCAGCTGTCAAATGGCGCCCATTTCACCGTACAAGGCATCATGCAGATATCGCGGTTGCTTTCTTCAGTACCCGAAGGAATGGATCCGAACTCCTACTTTACAAGGATTGCTCCGCAGCTTTTAGCCTTGCTGGACGGCGAGGATCCCGACTTCAAGAAGACCGCGGCATATGTTATCGGCAACGGCATACTTGGTAAGCGAGCTTATGGGGCCCCCGGAACAATAGGTCACTCAATCTTCGTGGAACCAATCTTCAAGGTACTTGCGGGGGAGCATGATGCTTCGACGCAGCAATGGATGAATGTGTCTGGAAAGGACATACAGAGCCCGACAGTCATTTGTGAACCGACCTTGCTGTTGGCAATTGAAAGACTAAGTAGCTTGACACTTCAACATCCAAATCCCGGACTTGTCAAGAGGCTCGTGTATCCCATTCTTCTACCACTCTGGGGATTGGCTTGTTTTTCCCTGGAGCAACAAAGACCAAAGCTCCATGAAAAAGTCATGGCAATCTTACAGACATATTTTGGCATATCGGTCGGAATCCAGCCTTTGAAGAAGCTGGTCGATAATCTGCTATGGGACGGTGGTACGACGTGGACTTACGGTCTTGATTCCAACAACCTCTTGGTGTTAGAAAAGCGTAAAAGCACGGAATCAGAAAGATCGAATATTGTGCGGCTAGTTGATACACTACAATCCCGGGCCAAGCTCTTTGTCGCTTTACTGGGAGCTGACCCGAGTAGCGAAGAACGGACTGGCGATATCTTTCTATATGTGAGCCGCAGTTGGCTTGTCCAACCAGCACAAGAGCGCTCCTTGGACCGGCTGCAGTTGCCTTCGGATACCGAAAATTCAACCGATATCGTTCAGAAATTAGTAAGCGCAAAGCTGGCAGAAGTACTCCTGGAGAACTTCAAGGACAGCCTTTCACGGCGGCCCCTTCGAGTGCTTGAGCTTATAAAGCAAGTCATCGAAGGCGAATTGAACAGGGTCAAGGCATCTCAGAAGATCAACCCTCAAGACTCCCAAGGGGTGTCACTTTCATCCTTAGCAAACATTGTTTCGAACGAAAAGCACGGGCGAGGGGTAAATGTGACCGGCACTGACGCAGCCGAGTCACTGCCGGCTGTGTTCAGTTTACTTTCCACCGTGCTGGCCTCCCCCGAGTTTTCTGTGACACAGGAGATGTTGCCCGTTCTTCAAGAGCTGAAGTCAGTGCTCGATGAGCTTATACCGCATCTACCGTCGTCTCTAGCCAAGCCAGGGACGACCTCGTCGATGCTGTTGGAGATCCATATCACCTCACCTGAAGAAGGTGGCCCGGCAAAATCGCCTGCTCAGATCTCCGACTTTGAAACACATCGCCGAGCATTGGCCAATCTCAATTCCGACCTCCCACCCGTGCAAGCTGAGGGATTCTCGCTCCTCTCTGATCTCATCAAGAAATCCTCACCAGTTCTAGACATACCCTCCACATTAACTCTGCTGTTGTCGGTTATTACCGATCAATCTGGATCAGCCGCCGACGACGAGTTCATATATCTAAATGCTATCAAGTTGATCGGGACACTAGCATCGAGGCACCCACGCACTGTCGTGAAAACACTGGTGGACCGCTACATCGACAGAACCGAAACCGTCGGTCTCGACCAGAGACTCAAAATCGGAGAGTCCTTACTACGAACAGTTCAGGATCTCGGAGAGGCCTTGGCAGGCGAAACAGCAAAGATTCTCGGCGACGGTATGATTGCGGTTGCAGGGCGGCGAGCACGCAAAGCGCAGACACACAAGCGTCGGAAGGAAGAGCTCGAGAAGGAAAGACGAGCGAGAGAGCGCGAAGAGCGCCGAAATAAGGAGCCCGCCATACCTCCGGCCATCACCACAACGCCAACCAGCTCGAAAGCCGAGGCAGCCGAAGAGGATGATTCCGATGCCGAGACTCCAGAGCAAGCTGCCCATCTCGCAAACATTCTGTCCACCTGGGCCGCAGGTACTCACCCAGATGAAGAGCCAGATGACCTCCGGGTTCGGGCGTCTGCGCTCTCCGTCCTGGCTTCTGCGGTTCAAACTAATATCACAGGTCTGGGCCCATCGATCGCCTCATCCGCAGTTAATCTAGCGCTCGACACTCTCACCCTAGAGCCTGGTCCTGAATCAGCAATCCTCCGCCGCGCAAGCGTCGTCCTTCTCCTCGATATCCTCAAAGCAGTTGATACCGCGAGGGAATCTCGCGGAAGTCAAGGGCTGGGATTCGGCTTCTCGCTCTCCGACGAAAGTACCCGAAACCGTTGGGAGAAACAGGATGAAGAAACCCGTGGTCCCGCGACAATAGGCAATATCCCTCATATGCTTCGCGTTTTGGCCTTCGTGGAAAGCAAAGAAACAGACACCATTGTTCGTGGTCACATCCGCGTGCTGATTGAGAGCTTGGAAGCGTGGCTGGAGAAGTCGCTACTATGGGGCATTGGGACGCAGGGCAGAGATGCAGATGAGATCCAACCTAGATTGGAGTTGGGTGATAGGATAGCTGGTCTAAGCATCGATCCGATGGCTGATAGGCAAGGTGCAAGACCACGGATTGAAGAAATCGAGTGATCTCGCCGGCGCTCTGTAACTAGTCAAGTGTTTCTCAAGTCACTTTGTGCGCAACATAATAAAATGACCTGTAAGAGTGTGTTTCCGCGGATTACTATTGCGTGAGCGTCTGCTCTCCGGTTTCGAAACATCTGAAACGTAAATTGCCTTAGGCTCATCAATTCAGTTATCATTAAGCTACAGGAGCCATTTCGCACACCATTCTCGTAAAATCATTTCGATATGGACCACAGAGCCAGTAAACCCCACCGAAAGTCACGCCATCCCAGTAAAACACCTAAGCGTCGATCAGATACCCAGTGAACGTTCAAGGCCATTACAGCCATCCCATCCGAGTCCTCATACATGACGGGAAAGTCCTTGATCAACACAAATTCGCCTGTGAGATTAGAGAAAAGAAAAACATGCCTGCCGCGAAACGCTCAGATATTTACCAGCGTTGATTACCGCCACCTCCTCCCCGAGAGCGCCCTGCTCCTCTTCCACGCCACTGACTACCGCCGCCGCCGCGATTGTTATTGTTGTAGTTACGACGGCGGGAACGATTCCATCCACCTTCGGGCTTGGGCTTGTTGGGACGAGGGCCAGCCTCAACCCTTGCTTGGCGCTCCTCGTCCGACAGGTGGAACTTGTTTTCGATTCCGATGAGTTCGCAGAACTGAGCAGTTTGAGGGTTGGTGTATTCAGGGGGCAACTCGTCGGTAGTAATAGGGACGGCGGGATCGAAGAAAGGTGCAGTGGGTGTGAAGTTCTCTGGAACCATCATCTTGCCAGCCTTGAAGATGTTTTCTTCAACCCACTGCTCGGCCTCTTCGATAAGGGGTTTGTAGAATTCTTGGCCACGGTCCGGCTGCATTTGAACGGCGGGATCGCCCAGCTGCAACTCGTTGGCGAACACGCGCGTGATAGCCAACCACTCTTTGTCATATTCAAGACGGAAAGGACGAGTGCGTTGAGTACCATTCTGATCAGAAACAATCGGAATCTCGAGCAGTTCAAGGAAATGACGCTTCGGCTCACACTTGTCCAATGCGAGGAAACGTGTGCTCTTGTTGGTAATTGTTTCTGGAACAGGTTCACTGACGGACGGATCGGTCTTTGGGAGGGCTTGAGGACGTGCGAAACTTGAGGGGAGCTGGTTGCGAACATCTTGGGAGACTACACCCTCCACCCGAGAAAAGCTGGCGGGAAGTTGGTTCCGCACGTCCTGGGACACAGCACCTTCAGGCCGAGAGAAGCTCGTAGGGAGTAGATTGCGAACGTCTTGAGAGACTAGAGTTCTAACCTGAGGTTTGTCCTGTTGGGTGGCGCCTGAAGCCTTTGGGGCACCATCGTCAGGAACAACTGAGGCGACCGGTTGCACAACAACTGCATCCTGCTTCTGAGTTGCGGTCTGGGTCTCAGTCGTCGTAGAGATATCCAGATCGGAATCGCTATCTAGATCGAGAGGGATCTCGTCGGAATTCTTTGCAGCGCTCAGGGCATGGTCGGTCTTTTGCTTCTTGGTCTCCAATTCATCCTCGTCAGCCGGCTTCTCAACTTTCGTGATCTTTCGCACCGGATCATCCTCGTCAACGCTTATCTTGCGCCAAGTTATACTGTGCTTGATGTCCGAAGCAGAGGCGTCGTGCGGTTCTTCCAAACGACGAGTATTTTCCGCCGCTTCGTCTCTTGCAGCCACTGCATGAAAGTTATTCCACGCTGAAATTCGGCTTTGATCATCGCCGTGAACGCGTTTAAGAGGTGAGTTGGTGCGGGGAGAGGCAACGGGGTTGCTCTGAGGAGTCTCTTGAGTGGCAGGTAGTTCCCTAGAAGGCTCTTCCAGACGCTCGTCTTCCCTATGGGTGGCGGTGGCATGCCCTTTGTTCTCAGCAAGATCATGCGGAATCTGGGTCTGCTCGGTCGGCATGTCTTCATCACCGAGTACGAGCGAGGTGACGACGGCACCGTCCATCCCAAAAGGGGTTGTGAGAGTAGATGTGTTGGAAGGGATTCTCTGAGAAGTCGCAATGTGTCTCGTCTGACCGACAGAGTCTGCCTTCAAGTTGGCCCCATGCTGAACCACTGCATCAAATTTCACATGCAGGTGGGCTGAGAACCAGAAGGCAGGGCGCAGACGGTCAAGAACAAATCTGGCGGCAATGCTTCCAAGTCGGCCGTTGTTGGAATCCTCTCTGAAGCCGTATTTCTTTGCAAAAAGCGTCTCGTAGTCACCGCAAAGCTCAACTTGGTTGGGCCAGTCATGGGACAAGCCAAGATCAACCTGAGTACGAATTTGCAGAAGCTTGCGTACATCCAACTCTCTCACATGATAAATGCTCTGCACGTCATCATTGTTGTAGGGAAGACGCTCAAAATGTGGCTTTCGGTAGTCGTAGCCTTTCCAGATGCCAGACAAGCCTGCAATGCGAAGAGGGCCGCAACGGATGACATTTGCTGCCCCTAAGTAATAGATGTTGGGTGCCACCCAACCACCATAGTAAAGCTCGAACATGTAGTTGCTTGCTTCATGGTTACCCCCAATGAAGACAGTCAAGTAAGGAGCGATCTTCTTTCCGCTGTAGTATTCATGGAAGTCGCCAATCTCCTTGTATTTCTGAGGCACTGACATACAAGCGAGATCGTTTGAGTTGCGGACGGCCTGGGTTGGAAAGTCAGAGGCAGAACCGACACTTGAGTTAGGAATCATTCTTACTTGAAAGTCACCTCCGATCACCACAAGATCGACACCATCCCAACCCCTTCGAGTAGCTGTCCTTGCGACAGAGGCGTAGATGTCATCAAGTCGGCCGTGTCCCTAACATTGTTTTAGCATGAGTAGGTAGGCTTCAGATATGGAGAATAGGCGCGAAGCTTACGCAACCTTCAAAAGCGACCCTGAACGGGGCAGAGTTTGCTGTGGACACTTCCATTATTTTGGATAGTGTCAGAAGAGATAGAATTTGAGGTAGACAAACGCTGTATGCTATGATTCAAAGACGTGCAAAGATGGGGGTAAATGGGGAAAGGAAAAGGAGATAGAGAAAGAGGGAGATGGAAGAAGGAAATAAAGCAAAAGCAAGTCAGAGAGAAGAAGAGAGGAAAAGAGAGAGGGGAAAGTGAGTGATTCAGGGAGGCGAGGAGAAGGAGGCTGGCAGCGTGATCTGCTCAGAAGTGAATGAATGTTTAACGGATGAAGAAGATTTAGTTGGGGTTGTGAGAATCCCGTTCTCCGTCACTTTTTCTGTGGCACAACAGAACAGACAACCAACTATCACTTCCTTCCCTAGGGGCTGATATTCACAATAACCTCTATCTGCATATCCAAAGAAGCCTTTTTACTTTTGACGATATGCCTATCAGTGACCATACTCCTCGCTTGAATTTTCTCAGGGACTCTGCCAGCGTGCTGGACTCGCTCAGCCCTTCTACTGCATCTCACTTGTTAATGGTCCATAATCGAATTCTTCATGACGAGCTCAAACCTCTGACTCAACGGCAACTTGACTTTGCATGTGGTGCTTGTGGTAGTATCAGAAAACCTGAGAGGACCAGGACTATTGAAATTAGAAAGAAAAAAGCAAAATCCTCTAGTTCTTCTGCTTCCAAGAAAGCTTCAGCTGTTGGAGCTACGGTCTACAAATGCCTTCGTTGCCATCGAAGATCAGTTAAACCAGCAGCACGTCCCAATATAACGTCCAAGCCCGACACAACAGCGACCGCTGTTTCTACTGCGCAGTCCACGACATCCACCACTGCAAAATCCGTTTCTCCCACTGCGCAATCTTTTGAGGTGGACCGAAGCAGTAAAACGGCCGACAACGCCAGTAGCAAGAAACGTGCGAAAGCGAGAAAGCAAGGCGGACTACAAGCTCTCCTGGCATCAAAGCAGCAATCTCAATCAAAATCATCTCAGTCTCTTGATCTATTCGATTTCCTACAGCAGTGAAACAACACCGGGGATTCTGCAGCATTTTGGTGCCAAGCCCGGGCATTCGGCGCTACTTCGTATCCGAGTTATTCTGGGACTAGCGCGGGGCTGCTACTAACATCATTGGGGAAGCTTCTCCAGCTCCAGTTGTATCGCCGTAGATCGAAACAACGATCTCGCTCTCGTTCTCCTCGTTGATTCGGCTACAGCACATCATTGCAGTCTATAGGTTACAGGCTCAACCAGCTAGCCAGATGTCCTCCGACTCGATGTCCGACTATTCCCACGATGATGAGCACGATCCCCAGGCGGATGAGCTCCGCGAGACAGCTCTAGTGACGCTGGAGACCCTCATAAGCTCCTGCAGTCAGCAAATGCAACCTTACCTAGCGAACGCTGTCAAATCCTCTCTTCGCTTCCTCAAGTACGATCCTAATGTGGCCGACGTCGAAGACGATGAGGAAATGGGAGGCACTCAGGATGATGGCTCCGAGGATGACGCAACAGAGGAGCCCGACTTGGAAGACGACGAATTCGGTGACTTTGAAGATGAAGGAGGCTATAGTGATATTGATGATATGAGCTGGAAGGTTCGACGCTGTGCAGCAAAGTTGCTTTACACTGTGATCTCAACTTATGGGCGTACTCGGGCTTTGGACGATACTGCTTTGTATCAGCAAATCGCGCCCGCTCTCATTGCTCGGTTCAAGAAGGAGAGAGAAGAGAGTGTGAAGCTTGAGGTCGTCTCAACCATGACTGCTCTCGTCCGAAAGACCAGCGAAGGAGCTATGATTATAACCTCAAATGGATTTCTTGAATCAGTGGGAGGATCGAAGAACTCGAGGAAGAGGAGACGACAAGACAGCGATGCTAGTATGATTGATTTTGAGCCCAGCATCGGTACTTCTTCCGCAATCAGCACGCCAGTTATCGCTCCATCGTCGCCCAAGACCGGTCCTCAGGCTGAGCTAAGCAGATCGGTTCCGGTTATCGTCCAGAGTTTGGTGAAGATGTGGAAGTCGGCTTCGGTGCCTTTGAAACAAGCCATCATTGTCCTGCTCAAGAGCCTGGCTCTCGTGCGCTATGGCGGTCTAGCCGATCATCTGCAGCAGATCGAAGATCCCATTGCTGATGTCCTGAAGTCTTCGTCCACAGGCAGTGCGACTGCAACCGCTGGCCCCGCTGTCAGTGCCGGAACCCTGCAGACTGAAACACTGAGTCTGATTGCTGCCATTGCCGAAACCCACTCATCCGATGCACTTTTGCCCTTCCTGATTGCCTTGATTCCGGGCGTGATCGGTGCTGTCAACGACCGGAACTACAAGGTCAGCAGCGAAGCTCTTGGAGCTGTCGAGCAAATCATCAAAGCTCTGACCCCACCTCGTGTGTCTGCAAATTCTCGTGATCTCGCGTCACAATTAGAAAAGCTATACGATGAGATCCTCTCCCGCATCACGGATACGAGTGCCGACCTTGAAGTTCGGCAGCGAGCCATTCATGTCTTTGGTGTCCTTCTGGCACGTACGTCCGGGGAGAAGGGCGCTGATTTCCTGTCATCAGATCGGCGATCAAAGGGTCTTTCTGTCTTGGTAGATCGCTTGAGGAATGAAACTACACGTCTTGCCTCTGTCCGCGCGGTGGATGATATAGCTGTTCTCTGCACCAAGGAGACAGACGTTAGCGCAGCCTGGGTCAGTGAGGTGACTGTGGAACTTGGTGCCCAATTGCGCAAGTCGGACCGCGTCCTGCGTGGTGCCAGCCTGGAAACTTTACGTAGCTTGGCCATGAACCCAAGTACAAGGATCCATTACGACGGAAAGACAATGAAGGAGCTGGAGGACTGCCTTCTACCTTTAATCAGTGCTGATGACTTTCATTTCCTTGCACCCTCCCTCATTATATTGGCAAAGCTCCTACCTGGTAATGCCCAGCTTCTTGTCAATGAAGGCTTGGTCTCCGCCCTATGCTCTATTGTTCTCGCTCCCCTCGTTGGCACGGTGCTGAAGGCATTACTTCTCCTGGTGAAGGTTATCGGAGAGGAAGGTGCTGGAGCTGAATTGATGCAGAAGCTCCTCCGGGACGTGGGTATCAACGGCGACACCTCCGTGGTTGGAAGAGCGATTGGAACTCTGCTTGTTCATGGCGGTCCCAAATTAGGCGTTAGAATGGAGGACTTCTTGACCGAATTACAAACTGCGCAGGATGCTCAACGGAAATGCCTTGCACTCGCCATCATTGGTGAGATCGGTCTTCGTATGGGCTCCACGTGCTCCTTAAACCCGGATCTTTTTATCACCCATTTCGATTCAAAGTCTGATAAGGTCAGGCTGGCTGCTGCTACTGCTCTCGGAAACGCAGCCGCAGGTAATGTGAAGACTTACATGCCCATCGTCTTGGATGGCCTTACGAAATCGAACCCTCGAAGCTATCTGCTTCTGCACTCCGTTAAGGAATTACTCCAACATCCCGAGATTGTTCGCCCTGATGTAGCTCCTATTGCTGTCAAGCTATGGCAGGCTCTCCTTCTGGTGTCGGAAGAAGAGGACAATCGTGCCGTGGGAGCAGAATGCATTGGTCGCCTGGCATTGATTGATCCGGTGGCTTACATCCCGCATTTCCAGGTAAGCTTTGAGTCCTTGTCCACATCTCTTTGCCTTTTCTGACTTGAGTTCTCTAGGACTACCTCTCCAGTTCCGATCCAAATATTCGAGGTGTTGTCATATCTGCATTCCGTTACACTCTTACAGATTCGCGGGGCACTTACAACGATGTGTTGAGACCTCTGATTGTCCCGCTTCTGGTCAACATGCTCAGTGACCGTGATCTTGGCAACCACCGCCTCGCTCTGACAACGCTCAATTCCGCCATCCACAACAAGATGAATATTATCCTGCCTCACCTTAGCGAATTGCTTCCGGCAGTCTTTGGCGACACCCAGGTCAAACCTGAACTCATCCGCGAGGTGCAGATGGGTCCATTCAAGCACAAGGTTGACGATGGCCTAGAGCTGCGTAAGGTACGTGATATACCTGTCCTGCACACCGATGCATCGTTTCAGCTTCATCGAACTAACATTCATCAGAGCGCCTACGAAACACTCTACGCCTCCTTGGACACCGCGTTCTCCGTCGCCCATGTGTCCGAATTTTTTGACCGTATCCTAGCTGGACTCGAAGACGAGCAAGACATTCGCACCATATGCAATCTCATGACCTCGAAACTCATCCCAATCGCACCAGAAGAAACACAACGCTACCTCGACCAGCTTTCGGAACGTTACTCTGCCGTATTGTCCTTCAAGCCCAAGGATAATGCAGTGAAGCAGGAACTCGAGAAAGCACAGGAGGCCTCCATGGGTATCCTCAAGGTGACGCGAGAGCTAAGCAAGGCGTTTCCCAATGCTGAGGTCTCCGGTGATCATCACAAGTGGAAAGCTTACATGGAATGGGTTCGAAAGACATTTGCTACCCAGCTCAAAAGCCTCGAGACAGAATTCTAAGCGTKCTTTTCAGACGAAAGAACGCCATCATGATGGAATGGAAAGCTTGGCAATGGTACCGATCAAGGCGCGCCGTACTGTGCATTTGTTCTCAGGAGCTTTAAAAAAGTCCTTCGAGGCGTTGAGATGGATACTCGTTTGTCTCGACTGGGTTCCTACTGGCTTGACAAATGGTAATGACTGGATGCCAACTGTAGCCTTTTTTTCATCAATCAGGACCAGTAAGACATATCGATACCGGCTGTAACATGAGCTGAGGATCCAAATAGACGACCTCAACAACGTAGCGCAGCATATGCCTAGGAGCAGCTATGGACCTGATTAAGGGTAATCAAAGGTCGACTGATAAATACAGACCTGTCAAAGATGAAAATATGCTTGTTTGTCATTAATGCTAAATGGTATCGCTCGATTCCTCGTGAACCTGAACTCCAAGTATGCAAATGTCTTGCCGCCACTCAACGCCCAACCGTCATCACAAGAAATCAAGTCCTCCAATATGGAAACAAAGACAAAACGCAGGAATGAAAAAGATGCCGATGTAAGAATACGCTCAGAATAGTCACGCCGTGAATGCAATTGCCAAACTCCGTTCCTCCAATAAGACAGATAACCAACCGACCTCAAGACAAAATGATTTGCCAAGCTTTTGACAGCAACTGGGAAAAGAAAGAAAATTCTTATTGAGTGATAGCCTTTTTCTTCAGCACGCCGAGTTGCTCCAGTTTCGACCATGCGTGATCCATATCGGAACCTTCGGTTAGTACAGGCCGAAACTCCAATCCATCCAGGGACTTGATCGAGCCGCCGGTCCCAGCATACAGCATGAGCTCAAATATTCTGCGGCGAAGACGTGTCGCGTCATCCAGATGGGATAGGTATTTCCGGTCCGCCTGTGCATCTGCAGTTGGCAGAGTGTATGGATCGTCGATTTCCAGCTCTGTGTCGGCAGGTGTCTCCCAAAGCGTCGGGCGTATATCACCTTCATGCGGCCCTACATCAGCTAGGGCAGAGGCAAGATCTAAGCCACCCTTTGCTCTCTTCTTGCGTTCTTCCGGAATTGCTCTTATCCTCCTTTTGTCAACATCTTTCCCGTTCCCAGTCAGAGCCGGTGGATAGAACCGCAACGTAAGAGGATTCCCCCTCAGGTCGACTTTGCGAAGAGAGCAATCCTGTCCTTGTTTGGTTCGTCCCATTCGACTCAGAACCTGGCAAAGCTTTCTCATTCGTACGATAGAATTGCCAGCAATAGTCAGCCGGGAAAGGCAATTCAAGCCCACCAATTCAGTGATACTGCTTAAGGAATTGAAGTTGAGGTTCAGAACTTTTAGGTTGGGAAAGTTCGAGGAGAAATCTGCAGGTAGACTCTGGAGATTGCATGAGGCAGCGTCGAGAAGTTGTAAGCCCAAAAGCGGGGCGGAGGGTGAGAGAACCCGCGTTGATAGTTTGTTCGATGAAAGAAATACCTTGCGGATGTCTTTGACTTTTCCAAGGTCAATGTCCAAGTATGTATTTTTCT